TCCATGATGGTTTCTTCCAATGTAAAGCCGCCAAACTGGGATAGAATCTGTCAGATAAACCAAATCTGTTCATAAAGGTCAGCATAGCATTAAATTATACATGCAGGGTGCTTTTGCAGCTGATAATCTATAAATACAAGACATTGGATCTGGGGTGGTACCAGACCCCTTTTCCAGGACTAAAATAGGAGGCCAGCACTATGTTGACTTGCCAGGTAGTCTGTGAATGGCCTAAATTTGACTCTTACAGAAAACAAACAAGCACCTCTTTAGTGGTATCTAATATTATGTCATATTCTCATATCATGTAATCCTTAATTTTATCTACTTTAATTCGTTTTCCGAATGTGGAACATTTATTTAACTAACCAACAAAAACTAGTCAATTCCTAAACATAGATAAATAAAATGAAACAAAAATAATAGTTTATTGAATTACATAATAATAATAATAGTAATAATAATAATTTCTTGAATTAGTGTAATCCTCTTCTGTTTCGTCTCACCTGAAGCCAAAGTTGTATTTTCATAATTTTCCAGCAGAGGGTGCTGTTGTACCCACACGACAGCCTCAAAGCAGTTTCAATAACAACAATATTAATAATAAATTTCATTAAGAAAATACGTAAAATTACTGCATATTTTACTGTAGTAAAATGGTGCAGAAAAACCTTTAAAGGAACAATTTCTTGAATTGTTGAATTTAGTTATAAAATAACTCCTAATCATTTGACAGCACAAAGTTTACATGAGAAGTTTAATGCCGCTCTTGAAATAATGAGCATGTGTAGATACCACAAAAGTTCCTGCATTAATGGAAGAAGGCATATGTTCAAGTTAAATGTAATTTTGATTCTTTATGGACGTGCGATGAGCTGGGCTGCAGAATGTACAAAAACAGAGTTTCAATACTTCTTTTCTGCAACGGTTGTTTACACAAAGCTCAAAACAAACTTTTTCTGGATCAGTAGGAATTCTAAAATCTAAATTTTTATGTTTTTTTCCCCTTTTACTTTAACATCATAATCTTGAGTTTGAGTGCAACTGTATATTTGTGCTTGATGCGAGTTTTCTTTTGTCTGAGTGCCAGATGTAGGTCAAATGTCTTTATCACTTCAAATCCATTCATTGACTTCCCTCAGCTTCATTCCAGGTTTCTCCCTGGTATTGAAAGGGAACAATGGTGGCAGAGGAGTCAAGTGCCCACCCCGTAACCGGAGGGTTGCTAGTTCAAGTCCTGCTTAGTCTGTCACAGTTGTAGTATCTTTGCGCATGACACCCTCTGCCTGCTGGTGGTTGGAGGGACCAGTGGCGTCTGTGCTTGGCAGCTTCGCCTCCGTCAGTGTGTCCGATGACAGCTCTGGCTACAGTGTAGCTCATCATTACAATGTGTGTGCATGGGCGAATGACTGATTGTGTCGTAAAGCACCTTGGGGGGTTGCAGAACCCTAGAATGTGCTAAAAGAAATACAGGCTTTTGACCATTTCAAATGAAAGCCTTGAAAAATTAGCTTTAAATGAGACCACAAAAGATTTTCAGGCTGTTGTAACATAAAAGTGGATATTGATTAAAGTGAGTGGCTATAATTGTACATATTTGAGGCTGTGACAGAAATAGAGATGCTTTGCAGAAGTTAGAATCAGCTAAATGACATATTTAGGACAGATTTGTATCTTTTTTAAACTTAAACAAAATATTTATAATTTAAATATATTTTTTATGTTTAAAATTAAACTTTTAAATATCAGAGGGTCTGTGCAGCTTTGATATTTGTGTTAATTCAAAAGAAGAAAACCAGAGACGTGAGTAAACAAATCTATCAAATCCACAATGAGATTAACTGGAGTCCTGATCAGTAGAGACACCATGCAAGTTATACTTTAATTTTATTTTGGATGATCCCCAAAGACACGATATGTGAATTGCTTACACCTCCTGTGAGTAGAAATGAGTTGTATGAACTGGTCTCAAACTGTTTTATGTTTATCATCAAAGTGTTATTTCTAATAGGACCAGATGTCATCCAACTTTAATTTTATATATATTTACTTATTTGTCATCGCAAAACTTAGATTGTAGTGTTGTTTAAATTTGTGAAGCTCATTCTTGTCTTTCTGCAATAAAAGTTCAAAATATTTTTTTTATTAAAACCCATGTATCAGAAAAAATGCTAAAAATTGTTATCAGATGCACATTGCAAACATTTGTTTGCAAAAGATTAATAGCAGTTGAAAGTTTTTGCATTTATTCTCCTTGTTCTACACTGCAGAGTAGGATTTAATAAAAGTTTACAAACATAATCCTGTTAACTTCACAGCCTGGGCACAAGCTAAATTGTTAGGGCCCTTGGAGGAGAGGGGGTGCACTGACCCCATGGGATCCACTGCTTTAGATAGTAAACAGCCTTCTTGTCAATCTTCTGCCCATTTAACTACCATAAATATTGTCATGTGCACTTGTAGAAATAGTTTTGTAGAACATGAATGAAGCATTTGTGTCAAATGCCTGAATAATTCTTTAGAAAAAATAATTATAGTGTAAAAACGACTGTTTCACTCAATGGCGACCCATTTCTAGTGGGGGACCACTGGTGTCTGATGGGTTCCAGACAAAACAAATTGGGGGGCCCCTGCGCGGGAGGGAGGCCTGTTTTTGTCCGGGTCCGTGTGTGTCGGTTCGGGATGGGCGGAGGAGCCTGGGAGAGGCGGCGCCTTCGTTTGTTCGTGTCTCGGCTGGCAGGAACAAAGGGTCCTGTAGTAGAACAGCTCAGGGATCTCCGCTCTCCTCTCAGATGTCCTTGTTACGTGAGCTGGGTTTGTAAGTCGACCGAAAAGTCGCGAGAGTTTTGACACTTTTAGCCGCTTTTCACCTTTTTTAGACAGAGGAAGTGAATTTATCATCGTTAACGGCTGGAGCTGCCTCCATCCAGCCGCCCCGGCTAGCAGCGAGGCTAGCTGGCTAGAAACAACCGAGCCGACGCGCTGGACGAACTCCGCGTCCCGTTGAACCCTTTTTCTCTTCAGGTAACTTCAACTCGCACACAGCTTTGTTATCCGGCAGCACCGCCGGGTGTCAGCGAGCCACCGGCTGGGGTTAATAAATTAAAAGGTGGAACGGCGGTGGTAATGGCCGCCCCCCGTTGATTAACGGTTAATGAAAGCGGCCCTGCCTCTTAGTTTGCGCCTGTGGTCCCAACGAGGGGAAACAGGAATGTTTTTCCATTACTAATAAACGCAGAGAGCAGGTTTGGTGCAGGTTTGCACATGGAGCTTCCTCAACACGACTCTGGAGAGCCGACGCAGGACTAGCATGAAGAGTGTTTGCACTTAGGTGTTCTGTTGGCCGAGGGCCACCCTCTGGATGCAGCTCCATTGTTTGCTGTGAGGAGTTTGGGCGGACTAAATTGCACCGAAGTCTCCTAAATGTGGGTTTAACCATTGTGAGCGTTGGTTGGTATGCAGCATCGGCTCACCAAAACTACTCTAAAGACCTGAGTTATTTACCTCAGTCTGTCATGACTTAAACACAAAGCCTCTATTTCAAGACCCCATTCATGCTTTTTGTTAATTATTCATGCTTATGTCAGGCCTGCTCAAATCAATAAGCTGCAGATGGTGTTGGTGAGATTTAATAGCAGCTTTTTGTGAAATATTAAATGCCACATCTTTTAAAGAGACAGTTATGTTTTGTTCTTCATATGATTGTTTTTTTTTTATTTCTACACAGCTTTAACACAGATCAGCATCAGATTGAACAAAGATGTATAAGCAGCAGGCTGAGGCCAAAGGCCGGTGGTGTTGGGGGGTGGGTGTTTAGGTCAGATGTAAAGCATAGAAAGCCTTTGTTGGACTGTCATGTGCAGGTTCACCCTCATCATGATAATGGGGAGGAGTAAATGACCCCCAGTGACTCTTGCGTCTGCAGAAGAGAGGGAAGGCAGGTTGCATGTAAACAAGAGGAGAAACTGGACTGTGATGGACTGTTAGTTGTGATTGTGTATTTCCCTCTCTACAGTGCTCCTCCATCACTTCCCTAAAAGACGTGTGATCCTACATTTGAGTTGCTCATGTTGGGAATGCTTCTCCTCTCCTGCTGGTTTTAATCAGAGATTCAGAGATGGTCCTGCTTTAGTTTGCCACGTTGACCGCAACCAACTGTTTATGTTTTGTGACATAAATGAACATTCTCCTATAAAAACACGATTAAAAAGCTCAAAGCAGAACATTTTGGCACCACATGCATGAAATTCCGCATAAATGTAAGCTCACTACTTTGATTTTTTCCCCCCAGTGTTTCTAAAAAACAATCAGCTGACCTCCTGTCTGGGTCAGATTACTCTTTCTTTTTTTTTTTTTTTTTTTTTTTTACTGCCCCAGTTTAATTCTGCCTGCATCTAGAATATCTTTGATCAGATTTAAGTGCATGAATCTTTTATGTTTCTTCTGATGTAGATGCTTAAAATAATGTCTTCACACCCCAAGTGGTTTAAACAAGACTGTGTTGTCTGGGCAGAGGAGGGTTAATAACATCAAGGGTAGGAAGTTGGGGGGGATGGGTAAAAGAGGCAAAGAGAGGGGGGGATAAGCGCACACGCGCACACACACAGTGCAAATGAGCATGTTTGGGATCACATGGTGCTGGAGGGATGTTTGTAATAGTACCAAAAGGTACAAAAATGCATCACGGCTACATTTGCCAGTGCCACCCATTTCCCTGATTGTTTACTCATATCTGTACAAGCTAATAAATATCATCTTTTTTCGCCCGCATGATGATTAGTTTTATCGTCCATTTAGCAGATTGAACATGCATTAGATGATGAAAGCAGCAGGAAATCGTTTCGGCAGTGTGCTTTTCATTTGAGCAAATCTCGACAAAGTCGTCCAACATTAGATTACTTTAGATGATGCTGTGGTTTGAATGCGCCAAATCCAAAATAATCTAAATCTCTTTTAATTCTGCCACCCCACCCCCCTCTCTGCCCTGGGCTCATTTGCAGGTTGTTTGTCAAAGACATTCAAACTGTACTCTCCTAAGGAGCCCCCCAACGGTGGCAGCTTCCCCCCGTTCCACCCAGGCGCTATGCTGGACAGAGATGTGGGGTACGTTTGTTATGATGACCTCTGTCTAATACCTCATTTCAGTTAATGAACAAAATGTTGATTTGATTGTATGAATTCGACGTCATTAGCTAATTGCCACACATTCTTTCTCTCAACAGCGAATCAAAGTATAATTTAGTCCTTTTTTATGTTTTAAATCACAATCCTGATTATTTTTAATTTGAATGTACGGTGTTTGATAGTAAATGAAAACATAAAAGCAGCTATTGTGAAATATTGTCGGGTTATTTTATACAATTGTCAAGCTTTTCTTTAACCTTGTTTAATTCTATGGACTATCTAAAACTCAGTGCTCATCAAGAAGGAATGAAAGGATTTTGATAATAAACAACTCCCTGCTCTGAGATGGTGTGAACTATATTTCTATGTAATCATAAAGGCCTGCTTTTTGTGAAAATAAGGATTTTATTTGAGATCTTTTCTTTCCTAGGCCTACACCCATGTACCCACCATCCTACATGGAGCCTGGAATGGGGTGAGTGTTTTTTTTTCCCTGAAACTTATGTGTGCGATTTGCTGAAGGATCAAGAAATAATCAATTTAAAAAAAGAGCCAATGTTTCTTTTTATATTTTGTTGATAAATTATTTAATTTTTATACTATAGTTGTCCTAATAAGCAACAGAATCGGGCAATTGCACATTTTTACCACAAGATGGTGGTAATGCACCAAGTTGTTGGACAACTGCAATGGTGTTTTCACATTAGGATTGTATTTGTTCAGCACAACAATGTCACAAAACCTAAAATCATTTTGTAGTTATATTTAGTGGCCACCATTGTATCTCTGTCAGAAACAGTTTAGTCCTACTGAAGTTTTTTTCTGAAGTGTTTTTAAGATTAACACTAATTAAGATATTAATATTCTCCCTTAACACTACCTCATGCTCAGAACCTCATTCTAATGGCTGTTAAGGTCAGAGGACCGGACATTTAACGGTCATACTGACACCTATTGAGCCTTGTTAATTATATCACTAAAGGAGAGGATGGCAAAGCAAACATGCGTTTATGAAATGTAGGAGTGGCTGGCCCTGTGTAATTCTGAGATGAGAGGTTGAGGTTTGATTCTTTTGTTTCAGGAGACCTACACCGTATGGGAACCAGACAGATTACCGGATATACGAGCTGAATAAAAGATTACAGAACTGGACAGAGGTGAGTCGTGTTTCTCTGAAAACATCAAATTAAACTGGAAAGTGTTTTTGATCCGTCACCAGATCCTGTTATCAGCTGTCACTTTATCAGACCCCCCCCCCCCCCCTTCAGGAACCTTTTGTTTGTTGTTAAACATAATGGGGATTTTGTATTGGGAGGAAAAAAAGAGGCAGAAACTTTGCAATTTGAGCCACTGGACGAGTTTCGGGACATTTCTCGGAGGGGGGAGGTGACAGAGGAAATACGCTGTCTTAGTCCTGTCAGACTTCGTGTCTCTACAAAACTGGTCCTTCTGAGAATTAGCAAAGACGTCAGCATATTGCGACTGTTTCGGCAGAGATTGACATCATAGATCAGCGCCTGAAGGCAACAGAGAATAAGAAGAGATTGACAATAGTAGAAGCAGGGATGGGGAGATTCAGTGTTGTTCTGCTTCACCAGCAAGTCTTATAATTTTACAAATGCCAGTAGTTTGGCCAGTATAATTTCCTACAACCAATCAGCACGAGTTTACCATAAGTTACACCTACCGGGCTGTCTCAGAGTACGTACCCTATAGGGATGTGAATCTTAGAGCAACTCACGATTTGATTCGATTCCGATTCTCTGGGTGTTGATTCGATTCAGAATCGATTCTCGATTTAAATCAATTCACAATCGGTGTTAACAAAGAGTGTCCGTTCTAGGATTAACTACTTTGTTGTACAAGTTAGTTAAAGCTATGGGACATTTTTATTTTACTTTAAACTGGTCATGCTCAAAAAATGCAAATTTACAAGGTAAACTAAAGTGATTCTAAAACTGTAAACAGAAACAATCTTTTGACCCAAAGGCAACATTTATTTTTGCTCATCTTGTAAAATATAACAAATCTTTAGTTACCTAACAGTAACTTTGAAAGTAATACGGTCAAATACTTTTTAAGTATCTTTGGAAACAAGTTTAACATTTGAGTCCTCGACCTGTTTAAAAAAGTGCCTCCGATTTCTCACAAAGGAAAATGTTTTCTCATTTATCAGTAACTTAAAATAAATACATGAGTAATCCTGAGTGCTCACTTATCAACTTAGAAAATAAATATGAGAATATCTCAAATTAAAATGAATGAGTATGGAAAAAATTACATTCAAGTGCCCTCTAATCAGCAGATTCAAAAATAAATCATCTCAATTTATGGGACCACAAAAGCAAACGCAGTACTAACTCTCCTAACAAAGATTTAAAAAAAAAAACAGACAAAAGTGCATCTCAAATCTGTAACATGCCAAACGTTTGAGTTCTTGGGATAAATTCTGAACCTTTGTGAATCGATTCTGAATCTTTTTAAATAAGAATCCAGATTCAGACTTGAATCGATTGTTTTCAGTACCTCTAGTACCCTAGTTCCTGAAATGGCCTGGAAGTTTGAGCCAGCCCAGTGAAATGGAGACACTTGCATGCCTCACCCTAACCTGGATCTTTTGTTGTAGAAACTGGCCTATATTCACACGAGACAACAAAAACCAAGCTACTGTGTTGGTTGAATGAATACCAGATTTTAATCTAACCTCAATTGTACCAAATCATGTTAATGGTGGAGTAGCACACCCAGATGGATACGTCTCTCACATATTGACTGGTTTGTACAACAAATTACATCAACCACAAAGCGTTTCTTTTTGTCTGATCAGCTGACACAGAAAACACATTAACATTTGTATTTCGGAATGATTTTAATTACGGTTTGAAATTTATTGCCTTCTGCATCTAAATTGAAAGGTGTGGTTCACCGAAAACCCATTTTTTAAATGTTTTCTGATTATGCAGGGTTTTTCCTGGCTCAAATTGAGGCACAGGTGGTACCATCCTGACCATGCGCCAGCACATGCGTACTCTGTGCATTCAACTGCCTCACTATTTTTAAAGGCAAAATATTTTTTCATTAAGTGTTCTAATCTAAGCTTCTGTTGATTAATTGAATATTCCATTTGACAATGTTTCAAGTGAAACAAAACTGGTTTGCTGCTAAAAAATATGAAACAAAACAACAAAATTATGAAACAAAACAACAAAATTATCAGGCTGAAATAACACTCTTATTATAAAAGGTTCAATAATATGCATTAAGATTGGTGTTTAGTTCCCTTTTTCCCATCTGATATTTATAGTTAAAATATTTTTAATATTTGACCTACATTTCAGTAACATTTTAGGTTTGTATTAATAACACTCATCTTAGTCAAAATAACACATAAATATATCCAGTAAAATATAATGCATTTCATTAGGGCTGCACGATATTAGGAAAACCTGCGATATTCGATAACAGTGCTTAATATTGCGATATCGATATTACTCACGGTAAATGAACAAATACTAAAGTATGCAGTGTTGATGTCGTCTGGCGTGTGATGGCTGCTCTGGGTTCAAAGCAAACAAAAACTAATGCATGAATTCCATTACAACATAACATTTTTATTGCAAAAATATGCAGCTGCACCTGCTACTGTATAAGCAGCAAAACAACAAACTGCATGCATGCAGTTTCTCAGTGACTTTAAAACATCACCTCCACCATAAAATTTTTTCTGATGCTCCAAATACAGAAAAACATCCCTTACCAGGGTTTTCTGAATAAATAAAAATATCAGAAAATAAGTTTAAATGTTAAATAATAGTTAACATCACTTAAATGCAACAGCAAATTCTCTCATTGCTACTGAGCATTTTCTCCACCTATGTGGTTATGATATAAGGCTGTTGCTGTAATTGGAAAGTAAACTGTGCTGGGCCAAACTAGGAGAATATTAAGATTTTCTGAGGGAAAGAGAAAAACAATTGTCTACCTTTTTAGAAGAGGAACTGGCAAAAAAAAAAAAAAAAACTACATGGAAAATATGTGAAAACGTTTGTTTTTAACCCCAAATTGAACAAGTTTACCTAGATCTTAAAAAGCAGCTCAGATGATGAAACTGCAACTATGATTCTGATAACAAGCTAACAAATTGAACTAGCTCCTCTAAGACAACCGGCTAGCAGAGCTTCTGACTGACGGTTTATGTGCAGCAGCAAATCAACTATCCTGATTAACAAGGTTATAAAAGCTCATAAATGAAAAATCACTTTGATGTGTGGGGGAACTTTTCCAGGCCCTCTTTAGCAGGGTGGGACTGGGAGGAGAGTGCTGTAGCATTTTAGCTGGAAGCTAACCGGAGCCTGGGCTAATGTCACCACCCGGTGGAACACTAGTGACATGGAGGTCGGTGGGTTGGTTCACCGGCACGTGTCGGAGTCAGCCCGGTTATTAGCTGCTTAACGACACCGAGCGGACTCACGTTCACGTTTGAAAGCAGCGCTGATTCCAGAAACCTCAGCATAAAGTGCGTTCGTTAATCTGAGCCAGCATGACGAACAAGGGAAGCGAGCGTCAGCGGAAAGCAGGGGCGGAGCGGAGATAGTGGAATTTTGGGGTAAGGGTCTACATAGGGGGCGGGCGTATTACGTGAACGGACCCATCTGATTGGCCGCATATCAGAAGGGCTACATTTGATTGGTCAAATAATACTTCAGTGTAAAAAACAGAGCTGGTTTACAAAAAGCTGATGTATGACATGGATGGAAATGTTTGAACCAAACATTTATTCCCGTTTTTTGACGTGCTTTGCGATGGGTCTATCTCACGTCCTGTTATCGCGATGACAATAATTTTTCGATATATTGTGCAGCCCTACATTTCATTAACATGCATTTGTATTGGAAATGGTAATAACATTTAATTTCTGCTCCTAACAATGTAATGGTGGCATGTCTATTATGTACGGGTTGGCAATAATCCAGTTTAAATTATGTTCAAAGATAGAAGCGTTATTGAATTATATACTACAACGGCTTGCCGTACTTCCTGCTCCTTTGTGTGGAGCAGACATGTAGCAGTAATGTGACTCGTATCTGCAGCGTAGGCCTGGGCGATATGGCAAAAAGAATGATCATGATATATTTTTCCATATCGTTCGATCTCGATTTTTATCACGATTAATTTTTATATAGTCAGTTTAATGCAGCTTAAAATGTAAAAATAAAGAAACTAGATATTAGTTAAACCTTTTATTGACATTCTTTGTGTCTTCAATGCTATACAGGTAAAAAATAAACAAATTATCTGCTGCATGAAACATCTTTTAGCTCCATCTCTAGCTTTTCTCTGCATTCATCATACAGCTGTGGCAGTGCAGTTTGAGAAAAATACTTTCGGCCAGGTATTTCGTACCTCTGGTCCAGCACTTTGATTAAATGCTTGAATCCTTCTTTCTCTACTGTGTTCAGAGGCATCATGTCTTTTGCTATACAAAAACTTATAGCTTTTGTGATGGTTTTGCTTCTCTTTGAGTTCTGCTCGTACGGTGCAACAGCTGAAAATGACGAGATGATTGATTGCTGTTTTGGTTGCGCAGCTGCACCCCCAGTGCCGGCTGGACCACTACTAGCAGCCGCGCTAGTGCTAAGTCTACTTTGAGACAAGCTAACAAGTTGTCCGGACTCTGCTCGCATTTTCACGCTCTCTGTATAATCACTTGGGTGGTATTTCTTTAGATGATTAAATAGATTCGTAGTGTTGCCAGTTTTTGAAGGCACCATTCGCCGACATACCTTGCATGTCGGCTTGATTTGCTCAACGTCACTTTTGAGATACCCGAACCACCGCCACACAACTGACGTTGAGTAACTTTTCTTCTGAACAATGTCTTCATCTCCAGAAGACAACTCCGAGTCATGACTGGGATCTACTTTGCTGTCTTCAGCTCCACGTTTGGCCATTCGGCCTATTAAACCTCTTCATCGCAGTAGCGGAGCAGGAAAAGTGTAATTGCAAATGCTTCTTCTTTTTGTTAAACGGTGGTGGGCAACCAACACGCATGGAGGGTTAGCGCCCCCTACTGAGGCTGCAAACATCTGTTATTTCTGATCGAGACTCCCAGCTGATCACCGTAATTGAACTGAAAATGATCATGATCACAAAGTGCGATCATATGATCGCCCAGCCCTACTGCAGCGGTTCTGATCCGTAGCACTGCAGGATGCAGAATAAACAGGATGGTGGGGACTATTCATCCGCTTGTAGAGTTTAGTCATTCTTAATTTTACGATCATCATATATTTTTCTGTGCGACACTTGATCGTGAGACTGCTACTTGTTAGCTTTAGCATTAGCCAGTCTGCGTGTAGCTGCACTTTTGATCCCAAACTTTGGACCGGTTCTGCCTTTGTGTCTTTGCTGGTTCCTTTATTTTCCTCCACTGCATCCAGATGACCACATTGTGCGCCAGTAAAAAGCATTTTTCTTACACTTAATTTACTTTTGTTCAATAAAGTTCTGGGGAAGATAGTAACTCAAAGATGTTGCACCAGTGCTGCGTTTAAAAATAGACCGACACACACACAGTTTTTTTTGTCGCACTGTACAGCCCTCCTCTGATATGGAAAAGCCTGGGGGGAAATCAGGACGTCAATAGCACCAACCATAGATATGTACCAACCATCGACATATAAATATTGGACAATGGGTTTCCATAGACTCCAATAACACGTTTTTGAGGCTAAATGGGAGGTGGCCACCACCGCCATTTTGACCGTGTCACTGGTTCCGTCAAGCCCAGACAATTCCACGAAAGGGAAGAGAGGAGGAGCTGAGGGTGTGGCTGTAAGGCTGGGATCAACTGACGACACCTGGTCGAACTAGCTACAAGCTAACCCAAAGCTAACGCGGAGGTGGGAGCTAAGCTAACGGAGATAGCAACCTAGCTATCTCCGTTAGCTAGCTCCTGTGCCACCGTCAGGGTGACGGTGGCACAGGAGTTAAGTGCTCGCCCCGTAATCGGAAGGTTGCAGGTTCGAGTCCCACTCAGTCTGTCGCTGTCGTTGTGTCCTTGGGCAAGGCACTTAACCCACGTTGCCTGCTGGTGGTGGTCGGAGGGACCGGTGGCGCCTGTGCTCGGCAGCCTCGCCTCTGTCATTGCGCCCCAGGGCAGCTGTGGCTACATTGTAGCTCATCCCCACCAGTGTGTGAATGTGTGTGTGAATGGGTGAATGACTGATTGTGTTGTAAAGCGCCTTGGGGGGTTCTAGGACTCTAGAAGGCGCTATATCAAATACAGGCCATTTACCATTTACCATTTAACTACAACCGGAGTTAATTGTGCACAACACCAGAGCTTCTGAGTCAGAGATACGCCAGGCTGACCGCTGGGTAAAACCGGGTGGAACACAGAGGTCTCCTGAAAGCTGCTGAAAGCCGGCAGCCGCACAGCAGACAGAAGCCGCGATCAGACAGAGATGCGCCGAGCTGCGGGGAGGGGAGAAACGGGTGGAAAACATCGGCCTCCCGAGAGCTCCACAAGCCGATAGTAGGAACCCAGCTCCACCAACATGTTATATTTCAACCCATTTCCTGAAGTGCAGCATTATGTTAAATGCACTGGGTTTTACCCTGTTACATTTACATTTCATGGTTAAACAGTACATGTTAAAATCTAAGCTCAGCTCGGCAGTGACCTAAAATACATAAAAATAATTTTACTTACCGAAAAAAATGAAGTGGAGACTCCTTGGACGCTATATTAGTGCAATTAATGCCACAGCAAGTCATTTTGTCCAACAATTGCACAAATAATGTCCAAAAAAGAATACACAAACACGGAGACTCAAAATCCCAGAACAGTTTCCAAGCCAGACCGAGGCTCTACTGATGCCTTTCCACGGAGCTAGCTCTGCGGTCACGTTGGTCTGATGCTCATTAATTATACAGAATTTTAGGCTTTTAATACACTTAAACAGAAGAGTGAGAGAAAAAAATTCACCCCCCTCAGAGTTGTCATGAGTGTAAACTAGATCATTTAAACCAAAAACATGTTTTGGAACCAGGCTGTAAACATGTTTATTTCTGCTGTGAAATTGGTATTTTTAACATGGGAGTCAATGAGGATTTGCTCGCTTCTGACACCAGCCCCCAGCGGATGAGGGTGGAACTGCAATTTTTGGTACTTCCGGGTTGGCCTCAATTTGAGCCGCATTGTGGGGGCTTGGGACCAACTAGCGAGAAAAGCTATTTTTTTTTATCTTTTTCTGCAGCGGTTTTAGCGCTTTTCGGTGCACTGCTGCTGATGCAGCGCCCCTGTAGTTGCGCAATGCTGCATCTGCAGTTTAAATAACATCCATATAGCTGGGGGTAGAGTGAAATTGGGCTGGGGTGGCACAAAATTAGCTGGAGGCCGCTGCCACGCAAATTTAAACTCAGGAAAAACCCTGTTAGAATAACGACAGGGAAGGCTGTTGTTTTAGCGTCCAGTAATCAGCAGCAGACGTTTCTGTTCATTTAAGCTAACCATTAGCATTATCAGCTTCACCTTGTGGCAGAAGCTGCTTCAGGCATTTGTCGCTTGTGGAGATAAAACATCCACATTGCAAGTCAGTGGTAGAGTTGCATTGCTGCTTCCCCAATCTGTGGCGAGATGTCCACATATCAGCAAATAAGACTCCAAATCCTGCTGTCTGAAGATCTCTTGTGGTGTCGCAGACTTGAGCCTGCTGAGCCTGGGGTTTGTGGGCTTCTTGGTTCTCTGAGTTTTCCCTGCAAGGCATTCATTCCTACTGGAGACCACTGAAAATGTATTGATTAAACAAGTAATCCGCTCCTTTAAGTATTGGGTCTATTTTATTGCGTTCTCTCTCACCCGTTATTTTTTCTGATGATTTTTCAATTTTGCTATTTCTGTGTGTGTTAATTAGACTACAGAGACGACTGGGTGGTTTAAACATGGAGCACGTTTCAGGAAACATACTTTCCACTCCCCCCCCCCCCCCCCCCCCAAATATGTTTATTGAAATTTTCAAATTGGAACATAACTACCACCACCCACCCGCAAAATCCCATCCATCCCACCCCTCTCTTCGCTTCTTCGAAGTTAAAGGCTTTCAGACAAGCAGAGCTTTCCTCTGGCCATAAATGTTCGTTTCTCAAGCGCCAGATTACTGGACACAAGATTGATCCATTGTTTCACTCCTGGTCTTTCTGTGGACTTCCATTTCAAGGCAATAACATATTTTGCCTTTAACAGGGAGAATTCAACCAATTTCTTCTTTGCGTTACATATAAAACTGTCTGGAAAGATGTGCAGTATACAGAGTTTACAATCAATGGGCATCTTACATTCAATTAAATCTGAAATAACTACAAATTTGCTTCCAAAAGATTTGAAGTTCTTCACATTGCCACATACAATGATAAAGTGTCCCTTTTTCTTTTCCACATTTAATGCAATCGTCAGGGATGTTGGGGTTGAAATAATGAAGTTTCACTGGTGTAATATAGGTTCTAAACAGCCATTTGTATTGTAATGATCTAAATCTTGTGTTAATTGTTTTTGTGCACGTACACAACAATCGTTCCACTCTTCTACTGAAATATCTGTTTCCAGATCAGATATCCAAGCTTGTAAATATGAGTGACTACTTTCTTTCAGACCAGAGATTAGAATACTGTAAAATTTGGAGAGCAGACCCCTACTTTGATGATGGTTAACTGCTATATTCTCTATAGTAGACAATGTGGGTTGTACAGTCAATCTCAGTGTATTAGTAACGAAACTCCTAATTTGGAGAAATTAAAAAAAAAAAAGTTTCCTGCGCAGATCATGTTTATTTGCTAATTGTTCAAAGGACATTAGAGTTCCATCCTCGTACAGGTCTTTTAGCCTATTCCCTAAACTTTCGGGATATTTTTAATTCATTCAGTGGGTTTGTTCAAATGTATTGTCCTGTTCATCTTCCTCATTTTGCATTCTGATCAGTTCAGAAAATGTCGGCAATGATTTTTTCCCCTCCCTGTTGTAAGGACTGTGACAATATCTGGTGGGACGCCTTCACCACAGAGTTTTTTGAGGATGACGCCATGCTCACCATCACTTTCTGTCTGGAGGATGGTCCCAAACGATACAGTGAGTATGAACTTCTGCTGCTTTTGCACACGTTTGAGTTTGACCTCCTCGTCTTCTCTGTACAAGTTTAACGGCATTGTTTTCTTTGTTTTTTGCAGCCATCGGCAGGACGTTGATTCCTCGATACTTCCGAAGTATTTTCGAAGGAGGCGCAACTGAGCTGTTCTATGTATTGAAGCATCCAAAGGAGTCCTTTCACAGTAACTTTGTGTCCCTTGACTGTGACCAGTGCACCATGGTAACCCAGAATGGCAAACCCATGTTCACACAGGTAGCTTGTGCTTTTCAAAGTTACACAAAAGAGCAATGTCTTTCTGTGAACCTCTAATCCTGACGATTCTGCTCTTTCAGGTGTGTGTCGAAGGCCGTTTGTATCTAGAATTCATGTTTGATGACATGATGAGGATCAAGACGTGGCATTTCAGCATCAGACAACACAGAGAGGTCCTACCGAGGAGCATTTTGGCGATGCATGTGAGTGTTACAGAGAGACACAAAAGCACAGGTGCACGTTACATAAACTTACCAGTCATCATAATCCAATCACCCAGGATCCCCAGATGCTCGATCAGCTGGCAAAAAATATCACCAGATGTGGGCTGTCCAATTCCACGCTCAACTACCTCCGTGTAAGCATGTTGTCCTGCGTGTGATACGTCTTAGATTTCAAACTAACTACAGCAGGTAGCTAAAATAACTTTCTTTTTTATTTTTATTTTATATCTTCCTTTAAGCTATGCGTGATATTGGAGCCAATGCAGGAGTTGATGTCAAGACATAAAACGTACAGTTTGAGCCCCAGAGACTGTCTGAAAACCTGTCTTTTCCAGAAGTGGCAGAGGATGGTAGCCCCTCCAGGTAATTTGTGGTAGAGTATAAATACCAGACTATAAATTTCTAGGGTACACGATGGAGAAACAATCATTTGAAATGCTTGCGTTCTACATCCATCTCCTGTCTGTATGTAGCTGAGCCCGCCAGACAAGCTCCAAACAAGCGGCGGAAAAGGAAGGTGTCCGGAGGAAGCACCGTGAGCTCTGGCGGGGGCGGCAATAACAACAGCAACAGCAAAAAGAAGAGTCCGGCCAACAACTTTTCACTCTCCAGCCAGGTAGGTGCAAGTGTCGCATCATTTTGAGCATTCTGCAGCTGGGCAGTGGGGAAAAAATGGGTTGGAAAGAAGGGCACGTGACTAGTGGTGTAGTGGGTGGGAGTAGGTCTAAAGACCAGCTCATGGTACTCGTAGATGTTTCTTGAGGTGAGGTGTGGATTCAGACATGTCCAGGGAAACGTTTTCTGTAACCTTGCACATAAGGATGGTAGACCCCACATGTGTACCAGTGATGGGCAGTCCCTGGTCCTTTGGGGCCACAGGTTACAGAGTTTCATTACTGTGGGGTACAGGTGACCTGTCTGTTTTCAGTAGTGTCTGTAGTTGGGGGTTACTCTGCTCTGATTTCTATTGGGACAGTTGGATTTCCGTATAGTTTCATTTGAGTCGTTCACACAGCCCTTCTGTTTTTGTTCACTTGGTTGCTTTTATTGAGATGATGAGACCCGAGGTGGAATGAACCCTCCCCGCCATGAGGCAGCACTCGAGGATCAGGGATGCCCACTGCTGGCCAATAGAAAGGCCCCTCCACCCTGGTTCTTTGAACAGGGGTAGGGAGTCTGGACAACAAGAGCCACTGATCTATCAGGATAGATAGCCCTAAAAACACTTTCTTGTTGTTAGTAGGTTCAGTGCTAGACGACACAAGAAAATTCATTAGATTGTGCTCATAATAATGTGTTAGATTTGAAAAGATCAAATTATAAAGAGGAAAATCGTAAACTCGTCGTTGCAGTTAGACAATCCGCACTCCCCCTGTATTATGGGGATAATGTGTACCGGCCCTTGCTGTCCCCTTTAGGATGTGATGATGGTGGGAGAGCCCACACTGATGGGAGGGGAGTTTGGTGACGAAGACGAGCGTCTGATCACGCGGCTGGAGAACACGCAGTACGATGGGGTGAATGGCCTGGACGATGAGGACAGTTTCAACAGCTCGCCCACTCTGGGGGCACACTCGCCCTGGAACAACAAGGCTCCCTCCAGTCAAGAGAGCAAGAATGAAAACTCCCAGTCTTCCCAGTAGAGTGTATTTGTAAATTTAAAGTCTAAAATTTACCAGGATCAACTGGAGCAAACACCAGAGCAGGATGAGTCAGAAGGTGGCGTCGAGCACCTGTGTTACGTAATGACTCCTTTGTTCAGTTAGAGTTGAAGCGGAGACCGTGAGGGCCATTAGCAGACAGACAGTAGAATCCCACTTGCTCCTAAACGCTTTGGCTCTTGACAGTCCTCTAAGGAGTGGCGGTTGTGTGTGTTTCTGCCCGCTCACCACAGATTACAGCCAGAGTTGGTGTGTTCTGTTGTCCAAGTGCTCCTCGTCAGTGGGTTCTTGTTCCAACCTCGGGTCTCTGAGCCGTGCGTTGTGCTTGACGACGCACTTTTGCTGTTTTCTGCTGTGCTCATGTCACTGGGATGAAATGCTTAGCTATTATTTTGACTCCACTGTTTTTCGGGATGTAAACAAAAAAGGCGGGGGTGGGGGAGGGAGAAGAAAATGTGCACTTAAAGTGTGAAAATTCTACGTTCAGTTTTTAAAAACTCAACCATTTGTTTTTGTAGGACCTGGTTGGAACAAAAACCTGTACAGTGCCGGAACTTGAGGACCGGAGTTGAGAACCACTACGCAAAATCGTACACACACATTCTCTCTCACACTCACACTTACACACACAGACCAGCACACACACTGACAAACACGGTCATCTACGTCTGTGGCACAAACATTGAGGTACTGGAGAGAGGCGGTACGCAGCGTTTCTGGATCAGAGCACCAGACGCCACAGAAGGAGTGTGTTTTTATTTTCTATGTTTTAAACTTGGTTTTTTATGTAAAGTATTTGTAAAAAAAAAAAAAAAAAATAGACAAGCAAACAATAACACCCCAGAATATTCTTTGCACTGTTTTCCACTATTAATGGCAATCTATTTTTCTTATAAAACTGACTTGTTATATGTTTTATTATTATTATTATTATTATTATTGTTATCATTATTGCTTATGTAAGAAGTGTAAAACATCTGAGACCTGCAGTATATTAATGTATAAGTATTGCTGTCAGATCATTCTTATTGTGATGTAATAACTCATGTAAACCTCTGCTTGGTAAATCATCTGTTCACTCTGTTAGCAGGCTCACTGGTCCCAGTGCTGACACCAGTCTGGGGGGGGTGACGCAGCTTGTGTTTTTACTGTTGTATCTGATGTCATCCCAAAGCACTCTCTCCATCGGTTTTATCATGACACAACTGTTTTGCTTCGTCTTGAGTCCTCTCACCTCGGGAGGAGTCTTCTCTACAGAGAACATAGTAACAGAAAACTTTCATGAACTTGCTACTCAAAAAATATTTTAAAAGTTTTAACTGGATTGTAAAATAAGCAGAGAAAAAAGGGGTTTTGTATTGACTTGAGGCTTCCCAGAAATGTTTTTAATTACAAACTGCAGACCAAGACGTGTAAAGACTGATCACACAGCGCTGTTTTATCTCTTTTGGTCAATCGTTTCATTGGCTTTACTTCTCATGTTTGTGTTTGTGCTTGTACATTTTTAGGTAGTCATTTCTGTAAAAGTTAATCTATGTATTCTCCCCTTGAACTACGAGAAACTCAATCTAATGTAAAGAAATAAAAGTTTTTTTTTAAACATGATTTATGGTACAATCACTGAAAGAATTTTACCCTCATTTTAGCAAACTATTTATTTTTCTATGTACTGATGTTCTGTTTAGGTCTGATCCGCCTGTACAGTATCCATAAGAATATCCATCTGGAGTAATTTGTAGAGCTGCTGAGTTGCTTTTTTTTTCTCAAAAGGTTATTTTATTTTGTTCCTAAGTCATGCTGTTGCTTTTACTCTTAGATTATGCCATTTGTGCTGTAAGTTGACCCTCTTTTGTTCAACAGTGGGGCAACATGTATCAAATTAAAATAGATTTAATTGCATGATTTAAGTCAAATTGCAGATTTTTGGGAAGAAATCAAAAATGTTTAGCTGTTAGAGCGAAATCCGTCTGCTGATGACTTGATGCTGTGTCGGTGTGCATTTACACGCTGAAATGAACAGTCGTGGTTATACCATCTCATAATAAATAATTATTTCCAGACTCCCCCAATCTCAGCAGGAATCTCATACTGAGCAGCTTGTCAGAAATTCCTTCATCATTAACAGAAATGTCTATTAACCCCCCCCCCCCCAAAATGCTTATGTCTCTAGCACCTCTTCGTATACTTTTTGTGATCTATAAGTTCAGCAGGTGGTCAAAGAATTGAATTCGGGACTGATTTGTCAAGCACCCTTTGTTTTCTAGGTTGACCTAATATAAATTATAAAGGGTGTGTGAGACAGGAGAAATGGCGACGCACCCGTAGCTGGCTCTTGTAGCACCTCATCCCAGAGGTGGTTTTATATATTTCTTTTGCCAGGTTTTGTCATTGATAATTGATGTATGTTATCAATAAAGATGAATTTTCACTGAAAACTGGTGTCTCTTGAGTTATTCAAACAAAGCATGTGGCTATTTACATTTTGATTTTATACAAATAATTGCATCTTATGAATTATATAAATGGAAACAGTGTTCCCTCACCCGGACGTGGGTCACCGGGGCCCCCCTCTGGGGCAAGGCCTGGAGGTGGGGCACGTTGGCAAGCGCCTGGTGGCCGGGCTTTCACCGATGGAGCCTGGCCGGGCACAGCCCAAAGAGGAAACACGGGTTCCCCTTCCCATGGGTTCACCACTTGTGGGAGGGGCCAAAGGGGTCGGGTGCAGTGTGTGACGGGTGGTAGTTGAGGGTGGGGACCTTGGCGGTCTGATCCTTGGCTACAGAAGCTGGCTCTTGGCACATGGAATGTCACCTCTCTGGTGGGGAAGGAGCCTGAGTTGGTGTGTGAGGTTGAGAGTTTCCGACTAGATATAGTCGGACTCACCTCAACGCATGGCTCTGGCTCTGGAACCAGTTTCCTTGAGGGGTTGGACTTTCTACCACTCTGGAGTAGCTCCCACTGAGAGGCGTCAAGCAGGGGTGGGCATAATAGTTGCCCCCTTATCTTGGTGCCTGTACGTTGGGGTTTACCCCAATGAATGAGAGGGTAGCCTCCCTCCGCCTACGTGTGGGGGGATGGGTTCTGACTGGTCTGTGCTTATGCGCAAAACTACAGTTCAGACTACCCACCCATTTTGGAGACCTTGGAGGGGGTGCTGGAAAGCGCTCCTTCCGGTGACTCCCTCGTTCTGCTGGGGGACTTTAATGCTCACGTGGGCAACGACAGTGAGACCTGAAGAGGTGTGGTTGGGAAGAACGGCCTCCCTGTTCTGAATTTGAGTAGTGTTTTGTTATTGGACTTCTGTGCCAGTCATGAATTGTCCATAATGAACACCATGTTCAGACATAAAGGTGTCCATATGTGCCCTTGGCACTAGGATACCTTAGGCCACAGCTCGATGATCGACTTTGTTGTTGTTTCATCTGACCTGCGGACGCATGTCTTGGACACTCGGGTGAAGAGAGGGGTGGAGCTGTCAACTGACCACTACCTGGTGGTGAGTTGGCTCAGATGGTGGGGGAGGATGCCGGTCAGACCAGGCAGGCCCAAACGTATCGCGAGGGTCTGCTGGGAACATCTGGCAGAGTCTCCTGTCAGAAGGAGCTTCAATTCCCACCTCCGACAGAACTTCCAAAATGTTCCGGGGGAGGCGGGGGACATTGAGTCTGAATGGACCCTGTTCCGTGCCTCCATTGTTGAGGCAGCCGACCGGAGCTGTGGTCTCAGGATCGTCGGTGCCTGTCCCTCATTAACCCTCCGAACCCGCTGGTGGACACCGGCGGTTAGGGATGCTGTCGAGCTGAAGAAAGAGTCCTATCAGGTCTTTTTGTCCTGTGGGACTCCAGAGGTAGCTGGCGGGTACCGGCAGTCCAAGCGGTCCAAGCGGAACGCGGCTCGGGTGGTCGCCAAGGCAAAAACCCGGGCATGGGAGGAGTTCGGTGAGACCATGGAGCAAGACTTCCGTACGGCTTCAAGGAGATTCTGGTCCACCATCCGGTGCCTCAGGGGGGGAAAGCAGTGCGCTACCAACACTATCTATAGTGGGGACGGTGTGCTGCTGACCTCTACTCAAGACGTTGTGGATCGGTGGGCAGAATACTTCGAAGACCTCCTCAATCCCACTGACATGTCTACCAGTGGGGAAGCAGTCTGGGGACTTTGGGTTGGCCTCTCAAATCTCTGGTGCTGAGGTCACTTTTGTGGTTAAAAAGCTCTGCTGTGGCAAGGCTTCAGGGGGTGGATGAGATCTGCCCGGAGTTCCTTAACGCTCTGGATGTTGTGGGGCTGTGTTGGCTGACACAGCTCTGCAATATCGCGTGGACATCGGGGCAGTCCCACTGGACTGGCAGACCGGGGTGGTGGTCCCCTTATTTAAAAAGGGGACCGCCGGGTGTGTTCCAACTACAGGGGGATCACACTCCTGAGCCTTCCTGGTAAGGTCTATTCAGGGGTTCTGGCGAGGAGGGTCCGTCGGATTGTTGAACCTCAGATTCAGGAGGAGCAATGTGGTTTTCATCATGGCCGTGGAACACTGGACCAGCTCTATCCTTAGGGCGATCTTTGAGGGTGCGTGGAAATTTGCCCAACCAGTCTACATGTGTTTTGTGGATTTGGAGAAGGCGTTTGACCACGTCCCTCGGGGGGCCCTGTGGGGGGTACTCCGGGAGTATGGGGTACCAGGCCCTCTGACACGGGCTGTTAGGTCCCTGTATGACCGGTGTCAGAGCTTGGTCCTCATTGCCGGCAGTAAGTCGGGCTGGTTCCCAGTGAGAGTTGGACTCCCGCCAAGGCTGCCCTTTTTCACCGATTCTGTTCATAACCTTTATGGACAGGATTTCTAGGCGCAGCCAAGGTGTGGAGGGCATCCATTTTGGTAGCCTGAGGATCAGGTCTCTGCTTTTTGCAGATGATGTGGTCTTGTTGGCTTCATCAGAACGTAATCTTCAGCTTTCGCTGGAGCGGTTCGTAGCCAAGTGTGAAGCAGCTGAGATGAGAATCAGTTCCTCTAAATCTGAGACCATGGTCTTGATTCGGAAAGGGGTAGAATGCCTTCTCCGGGTCAGGGATGAGGTCCTGCCTCAAGTGGAGGAGTTTAAGTATCTTGGGGTCTTGTTCACGAGTGAGGGATCTTCAGTGATGCGGGCATTGTACCTGTCTGTCGTGGTGAAGAGACAGCTGAGTCAGAAGGCGAAGCTCTCGATTTACCGGTCGATCTATGTTCCTACCAGGGGCGGCGTTAGGCCCGGCTACTTGGGCTGAAGCCCCGGATGTTTCATAGAAAGTCCCGGATCTAAATCGCGGAAGTAACATGCAGTACCAAAGTCCAACAGAGAGGGAGCAGCTGGCAGTAGTTTGTATACAGCCTGCCTGAGCCTCCACCACTGAAGAAGAAGCCCTTCAGCAGCCGGCTTCTTCTACAGTCTCTGCCTGAAATGCATGAGTGAAGATGGACATAAGGACGTTTTTTAGACCAAAAGTACGGCGACAGAACCCCAGCTTTGATGAGACTGGTGTTGACTCAGGTTTGTGAGTCTTATTTGAAAATATTTGTTGTGCTGCTGGTTTGCCTAAAGTTAGCTTACTATCAGGTAAAGTTGTTGGAGAAAGAAAGGGAATATTTACTATCATCTCACACTAAACACTAACAGGAACAATACTCTGCCCTGAAAATGCTTAATATGTAGCTTCAGATTAAAAATTATGTGATACAAGACATATATGATGTTGACTTGCGCGTGTCACGTGTGCGCGCGTCTGTGCGCGAGCGTGTGTGTGCGTGTGTTAAGCCCCGGATGTTCTTCAGTCCTTAATCCGCCCTTGGTTCCTACCCTCACCTATGGTCATGGGCTTTGGGTAGTGACTGAAAGAACGAGATTGCGGATACAAATGGCCAAAATGAGTTTTCTCCGAAGAGTGGCTGGGCTCTCCCTTAGAGATAGGATGAGAAGCTCGGTCATTCGGGAGGGGCTCGGAGTAGACCCGCTGCTCCTCCACATCGAGAGGAGCCAGTTGAGGTGGCTCGGGCATCTGGTCAGGATGCCTCCTGGATGCCTCCCTGGTGTTCCAACCGGGAGGAGACCTAAAGGTAGACCCAGGACACGGTGGAGGGACTGTGTCTCTCACCTGGCCAGGGAACGCCTTGGGATTCCCCCGGAGGAGCTGGCCCAAGTGGCTGGGGAGAGGGGAAGTCTGGGCCTCTCGCCTTAGGCTACTGCCCCCGCGACCCGACTCCGGATAAGCGGATGTAAATGGATGGATGGATGAATGGATAATTGCATCTTGCACCAAATAATTTCATTGCAACCAAGCTGACCTAATCTGATGCCACATGGAATTTTTGTTCTTTGTGAGACTAAACAGATAAGATGTCTTTTTGCAACATGCAAGCATAAACTTGTTTGTATCCTCAAGTTTAAGAGTGAGAATAATACACAGTGACACTTTGGTGGTGATAGAAGCTGTTTTAAAAATATGTTGGTGATCAAATGGATATCTGGCATATTTAAAGTGATGTGTATTTTGGACTTTTGTAATCGTCATGGATTGTCCTTCGAGGGGGCCCTTTTCGGAGTACTTTGGGAGTATGGGGTACTAGATCTTCTTATACGGGCTGTCAGGTCTTTATATGACTGGTGCCAGAGCTCGGTCTGCATTGCAGACAGTAAGTTGGGCTCGTTTCTGGTGAGAGTTGGAGTCTGTCAAGGCTGCCCCTTGTCACCAATTCTGTTCATAACTTTTATGGACACAATTTCTAGGTGCAGCCATGGTCTTGAGGGGACCCGTTTAGGTGACCTGAAGATTGAGTCTCTGCTGCAGATGATGTGGTCCTGTTTACTTCATCAGAACGTGATCACTGAAGTGGTTTGCAGCCGAGTGTGAAGCTGCTGGGATGATAATCAGCTCTAAATCCGAGACCATGGTCTTGAGTCGGAAAAGGTTATGCCTTCTCTGGGTCAGGGATGAGGTCCTGCCTCAAGTGGAGGAGTTTAAGTATCTCGAGTCGATCTATGTTCCTCCCCTCACCTATGTTCACGAGCTTTGGGTAGTGACAGAAAGAATGAGATCACAGGTACAAGCAGCCAAATTGAGTTTTCTCCGCAGGGTGTCTGGGCTCTCCCTTAGAGATAGGGTGAGAAGCTCGGTCATCCAGGACGAGCTCGGAGTAGACCTGCTGCTCCTCCACATTGAGAAGCGACAAATGAGGTGGCTCAGGCATCTAGTTAGAAGGCCTCTTGGACGCCTCCCTGGTGAAGTTTTCCGAGCACGTCCGGGCCGCAGGGTTCCTGGGCCCCCTTTTGTTCTCCATCTATCTTCTCCCTTTGGAACAAATTTTCAAACGGTACAGCATAGGCTACCATATCTATGCCGATGACTGTTGTCAGATTTATTACTCAAGGACTGTCTCTCAAGGGCCTTCGTGTATGTACTGTAGCTCCCGCTCTCTGAAAAGCACTGCTGTTCTCACTATCTGTCACCATCCATTGGTGTCTTCAAGTCATGGTTGAAGACACACTTCTATGATTTGGCTTTTAGATTGTGAATTTTTTACTTGTTCATTGTGTGTTTTGATTGCTGCTTTTATTTGCTTTTACTGTTTCATTGGTATTTTTATGTCTGTTTTTATGTTGGGAGGCGCTTTGGTCAGCTCCCATGCTGTTTATTAAATGCGCCATAATAATAAAATTTGTATGGTATGGTATGGTATGGTATAGTATGGTATGGTATGCATGATTTGTATTCAACAATATTTTTCTCCTTGGTCATCTTGATCATCTTCCATTGAGTCCACCTATGTCAGCAATTTTCTCAGTCCCAGTCAGGAATCTTCGGTTACCCTTTGTATTATACATCTTTCACTCATGACCACGTGATTGAGGTTGTCTACAGTCCTGCAGACCTTCATAGTCTGAGTAATATGTCCAATAATTTTAGACATGGGAACATCAAGCTGCTTGGAGATGGTCTTCTAGCCTCAACCTTTACTGTGCTCATGTCACCTTTGTTAAAAAAGGTTAAAACATTTTTTTATAACTGATTGAGTTTCAAGTTACTTCAGCAACTATTTTGGTGTTTGCTTCCTTTAACAAACAGGAAACAAAAATTCTAATGCTGAAAACAAACCAGTAAGTCATGACTAATAATAACTATTTCCATGCGTCGCCCAAATAAATCAAAGAATGGTCTTACTGCAGACAAAGGGGGGTTGTTTTTGAGCACAACGTGGCCAGACAGCTGTCTGACAACATTTAAAATGTTAGTATCAGGTAACACATGTAATGAATTTGGGGGGTTTAATTATGACCAATAAGATGTGATGATTCTATATAAATATGATTGATCTTTGAATGTTTAACTAGAAGAATTTAGGATTCTTTGCTTATTCAGTGACCATAAACACGTCGTATTAATTCAGGCAGAGTCAAGTATATAATTAAAAATAAACTCTATTTTCTAGACTAATTATAATACATGACAAGCTATGAATAATGATATGTGATGGAGTGTATGTGTGATGATGGAATGTGATGTGTGAGATGATGTATATCAGAAACTTTGCATCCGGAATAACCTGTGAGTTCTTGGTGTAAAATAATTTGTTGTCTGATATAAACTAGATAATTGATTATTTTTAGAATGGCATCAGATGCAATCTTGTTGTGTCTACGTACCTGATGGAGACCCACTTTTGGATCCGAGATGTCGGGGGTTGGGGGGTGGGGGTGGGGTTTGGGTTGGGTTGGATTGGGTTGGGTGACCCCAAGGCATCTAAGTTTGTAGATTTACCACAATGCGACCAGGTCAGTTCAGAGATGTCTCCAGGTCCCAACTGACAGGTGGACTTGTTGCGTCTAAGATGGATGGACTCTTAAGGAGTTGTATGGCTGTGTCAGCTTGCAGCGTGCAATCAGGTTTTGACTGTATGTCAGAGATGTTTCAAAAGAGGCTGGTTCCGAATTGGCCACTTTGGAGTGTCAGCTGGAAACTGCCTAACTCGGGCAGTTAGTCTAGTTTTAAATCTAGAGTTTATCATTTCTACGAATCAGAAGTTGACTTGTTTGTTGGCGTTACCAAACTTCCCTCAGAAACCACACCTTCCAGATACAAGATGTTTTTGTTCTGTGTATAAAGAATCTTTAAACTTTATGTGAGATGGCCTTAACCTGAATTTGCATCTAATGAACATTGTGTGATAATAGATTCACTTGTTAAATCAAACATCACTGATCATAACATATGATCAGTGATGTTTGATCAAACATCACTGATCATAACATATAAATGGATCATTGTAATAATAATATTAATTTCAACTTCACTGAATTAGTCACAGATTATTCAAACATGTCATATAGCATCTGGTTCATTCAACCATATGATTATTTAATGATTATTTAACTTATGAGTTGTAAAAGTTCACTTTTCATTCAGAGTGTGGAATCCAGCAGTCTGAGATAAGTTTGACAATCTTGTCCTCGTGGACTGACAACGAGGACTGCAGAATCTTCTGGGTGTTAGAAGATAGAGTAGCAACTTCACCTAGATAGTGGAATTATGTCTGTAGGTGTCCGGTCACTATGCATGTCAATATATAGGTCAAAATTGACCCTTTCTGGATGCTACACAGAATTTCAAAATGTTCGGTTTTCAGATGGTCTAATATTCCAGGTTGTGAAGGTACGCTGGGCTATCAAGAGGGTTTGTTTGGAGACACTAAATGCAAGTAATCTGAAGACTGTTCAGACCAGAGGACAGCTGTGAAAAGATGGCTTTATGATTTGTGATTTTATTTAGGACGATTGTTTCACAAGCTGAAGAATTAATTTTAATTGATGACCAAGGTGAACCACAGACAAGTGATCAACAATCACCCACAGGAAATACGGTGACACACATTCTGTTGTTACCTTAGTGGAAGTTAAGGTACATCATGTGACCATGGCAACATTCAAATATATTTTAATCTTGTAAAAACTAAAAACACTTCCATTTCCTTGCAGATCACCCAGTTTCTTAAATATAGGTCATCACCAGTGATTAAATAAAGAACAAGTACATACCTGAAAGTATTTTAATAAAATATGTTCTGCAAGTGAGAAAGCTGCATTCTTGTTTTGACTTGTAGTGTTGCAGAACAGAGCTGCACAGCTCTGCTTTTGATAATCACATAACACAGACATTTTCCAGCTGTTTTCAGTAAAAAGCAAACACAAGTCTCCATGAGGATCCTTCCCAAATATCCTGTGTACATTTCAGCCATTTTACTGTTCTGTAGGGACATTGAATCTCTTTGTTTTTTGAGGATAAAATGTAAACAAAAGTTCCCTGTAAAGGGTGTGATTGATATTAATTCACTTGCTTTTCCCTCGCTATTTGAGTATATAAAACATTCAAATCTGAACTTCCTGCTCACTATTCCAAGATCCAGGAAGACCTGCTAAAGGGAAAAATACAGTTTTCTCCCTCCTCCCTCCCTGTCACTCTGCTTTGCTTGTTAAGACCCTCCCTTTTTCTGTCCTCCAATCCCTTTCTTCTCCCTCCCTCTCTCTCTCTTTTAGTGTCAGTGTTTTGCAGGCCAGACCACAGACAACTCCACAGCCATCTGTATCAGATTCCCTCTAATATGTTCTGAAATACTCTCACACACAATTAACAGGACAACTGGATCTCAGACGGGCCACGTTTACACTGCTGAAACACTAAACAAGGTGAGTCGACTTTAAAACACCAAAATTCTTACTTTTATCATCTGTTTTTGATTCAAAGAAAATTGTCTTTACAAATCACTCCTTATCAATCTGATCTCACATTTTCACTCTCCTCAGGACTCCACAAATGTTCCGACAGATTACATCCTGGTAGGTTTCAGTGTTTTTTTTTTTGAACAGTTAACTTTTTCAAATTCTGATAATTCGATAATGAAGAGCATGGGTGACAACTAAAAGAACATGTGATGGTAAAATGATGCTTTGAAATGATGAGAGAGCCTGGTTTCGGATAAATGAAGTACATGCAGGTGAACACAGGTTTATGAGGCAGATTCGGCATTTCTCTCTGATTGCACTGTAAACACGTTTGTCAGACTAAATGTTTTCTTGACTTGTAACTTACTAAGTAAAACTCAGCACCTCCTACTTTCCATGAACGTTTCAGGAGCAGAAGACAAACCCAAAAAGGCCACCCCATTCTTCTCAAAGATAAATAGAGATTGACTCAACATTTTGGTTTCCTGTTTGTAAAATGTCATTGTTCTTCTAAGAAAAGCTACACTTTCCACCCACGTCAATCTTTAGGGAACTGTTTAGTAAGTCTTCATTTCCCCTATATTTGCATCTTCCTCATTTGAAAAACTGGTGCATTATACGCTCTTCTTCCTGTTTCCAGGTGCATTTACACAGAGCACCTGTCAAGAGCTAATTGCATCCAGGAGCCTGCTTTTTTTCTGTTGAAGATCTACACTCTGACCTGTAAACATGGGTTTGTGTGAGAACACGAGGAGTTGGAGGTGGCAATGTGGAGCTGTGATGGGAGTGATGCTGCTGGGGATCAGCTTTGCTCAGACCGTATCTACGCAGGCCACCTGTTCAGCGGGTGACGCCTCACAGAACATCACCCAGCCCCAGTATCAAGACACAGTGATCAGCATCATCGAAGCTGGATTTTTGTCACCTTTTGTCCAGAATTTCCTCCACACGGTCCAGCCTAACACTTTCCCTAAAGGTATGGGTCGTCAGTCCTGCTCACTCATAACCTCAGATCAGCGAATCTGAAGTGATCTTTAATCAGGTGTATTTCTGTTTCTGCTTTGGATTAAAAATTAAAACCACCAATTTTAACTCCAGCATTATGAGCTTATTCCCAGAACTGGTCAGTCAGAAGGTAAGTTAATGGACATTCTTGGGTCTTACCCAGTTAATGGTTAACATTAATGTGCCTTGAGGTCTGACACTGTTTCCCAACATTCTTTTGTTTGCTCTTGTATTATGCTGTAATTGCCCTTTATTCTTGTTTATATTACTAATATAACATTGCCTCATATTGATTTAAAGGAAATGAGTGAATGAGGAACAAAAGCCTCCCTGACAACTTATCACCTGGGTCAAACTCATAGAAAACTATTTTTTTAGTTAAAGGCCACTTTTACTATAAAATTTAAAGATACATTATATAAAAATAAATGAAAATTTACCTTCTGTGGTCAAATTTGGTTACTGCAGCCTATTTTCAAAACACACAATTGACAATCTCACAACTGTTCCGTGAGTTTCGTGGCCGGTGGCGGATCAGCACCAAAAGATTCAAAGTAATGAGTGAATACGGGTCAAAGTAAGCTGATAAGTAGACAAATACATTTCACTGTAATACTGAGTTGTTGGTAATTGAAAAAGTAGATTGAGATTTTTTTTAGACACAACTATTTGTTTCTAATTTACCGTTAGCTCAACGCTAGCCTCTAGCCTTCTTTACCCAATATAATCGTGAAACAAAAATATGTGGCTTCTTAGGATTACAAGAAATTACTTCTGAGTCTCTCCTGTTACTTATTTAGGATTTTTACAAAATGCAGCTGCCTTTTGCTGTCTGGTGTCAAATTACAAATCCTGGTGCTGCAGTGTTAGCCGGCAAAGACAAACTACGGCCTCTTTGGCCATTTTGAAAGAGAAAAATGGACCCATCCGACTGAAAAGGAAATCTGTTCAATGTAAAATTCCTTCTAAAATGATAGAGACATTAGACATTTTAATTATTTTTATATTTTTGGGGATTATTACACTGTAAAATTCATACTTATTGTACCTTTAACAATTTTTATAAGGGATGTTTGATAATAACCATAACGCACGGTGTTTGTATTAAAGTGTTAATTTGGACATTTTTACTCTTAACCCTAACCCCAAACTCTTCATCTACTTATCCTCTCACTCAAAATTTCAAAATATGACAGTTCAGAGTTTGAAATGTTTTTGGTTGTTTGACACAACTAACCTACATAAAGTTGCAGTAGTTCTCATATTTTGTGCAGATAATGTTTACAATTCATGGTAGGAAACAGGTGATGTTAGTTATCTAAAATTAGTTGTTTTTTCTTTTTTTATGAAAGGGGGATCCCGCATATATTGTTGACAGTTTATGTTGATATAAAAAATTAGGAGTTAGACTATATCGATATATCAGTAAAAAGGCCAATATCTAACATCCCTAATTTTTTTTAATCAAATAGCAGTTCTCCACATTTAATGCTCCTTTTTATCCTGGAAGAAGGATTCGAAGCTCGCTAAACTAATCTTGTCTGATTTGATGACAGTAACATTTGTGGTCCATTATGTCTTTTCACACAAAACCTAAAATAAATTGTTGCTGTTCGAAAATAAGTGCTCTCTATCTTTCTTTTTTTCTATCTTTAAAATTCATGGACATCATATGTGACATTCATGGCACAAATCAAACAAGACCAGAAAATAACTTTTATCTTCTCATTGACTCCGATTCATTTTCTTTGGCAGTTGGGGACCCATGGTCCGGAAGTAAATTGACGTGATTTAGACTCCCTATAAAGGCTAACACTTCTACCCTTTGTGACTAAAGGAAAATTCACTTGATGGCTTATTCATAACTTTTAAATGATTGCAAAGAAAAGAATAGAGAAATGGATGTTGGGTGTCACACACATTGCAAGAGAAACATAACACCCGAAAGTCCCTTCTCAGTTACCTGCAAAAGCTTTTGTGAGAATAAAAAAATCTACAATAACAGGGTTTAGAGCTACTGTAAATGAAGGGCTTTATATTATCATTTTACCTGCGGGCCCAGGTGGTTTTCTGACAACACCATGATGTTGGTGTCAGATTTCCTCTGTCACAATGGGAAATAGTGAAATGTTTTATGTAGGACAGGCCACACCATCCCCATGACAAAGTTTTTTTTGTTATTATAAATGACAGTGCATTACTTTTACTGTTTATGGCTGTTTATGTATCATAAACACAAAAAGGCTAAAATAGAAATTTAAATTAGCAACTACACTTTCAGTTTTTAAAATACTTATCAGTAAAAATATTTTTGATTACTAGTAATTAGAATTGACATGATTTTACACGATTTACACGATTTAAATTTAAACTGATTAAGTAAATAGGTTAGGCAATATTACAAGCTTTTGCTTCTGCCTAAACCTGTTCAGTCATGAAATGCTCAAAAGTTAATGTGATTGTACGGGAAATGTGTAGATACTAAAATAGATAAGCTATACAAGTATATGAATATACATGTTTGGGGAGGTATGGATATATATGGATTTATGTGTAAGATATGTTACTGTCTACACAAATTACTATTTTTGATGATGATGACTGAATAAAATTCATTCATTCATTCATTCATTCATTCATTCATTCATTCATTCAAGATCATTATCTCCATTTTTATTTATAGATTTTGTCCTGGATGTTGTCCAGAATTCTGGAGTCATCCTATCAAATCCAGAATTCATAAAGAAAGTGAGTAAACATTACGTAGGATGCTAAATTCCATGAAAGGTGACCTTCAGAGTATTGTTCTTTGGGTGTTTGTTTCACCCGCTGTGTATTTCTGACCAGGTTCTGGTTTACGAAGTGGGGTTCCTGGTGTGTGTGGCCATCGGTGTTATGTACATAGTTCTGATGCCCATAGTTGGCTTCTGTCTGTCCTGTTGCCGCTGCTGTGGCAACTGTGGTGGGAAGATGTACCAGAAGCAAACACCATCCATTAACTGCCTCAGGAGGACTCTTTACTGGAGCACACTCATGATCACAATCATTATCCTGTGAGTATTCAGGTGTATGTGTGTGTGAGTGTGTGTGTTTGTTTGTCTTTAGGTGTCACGATGATGCATTAAGTTTAATTCACTGGTTTTGTGAATTTGCCTCTGATCAGCTGTGCTTCATTGTCTCTGTACACTTTTGCTTATGTTGTAGTGCAGGCAACATCTGTATGTTCAGAAGCAACCAAGCTCTCAAAGCAAGCGTGAACCAGGGTCCTGAAGAGATCCGCAACATCATAGGCAACGTCTACACCTTCCTCTCATCTGTACCTCAGGCAAGAGAAAAAAAAATACTTTTTTTGAATAAGTGAAAATGTGGAAATGCTTACTCTAAAAAATGAGATGAGGATTAACATATCAAATTCAAAGGATTTTTTAGGACTCAATTTGTACTGACTTTTTTTTTTTACAGTGCAGGTTAAATAGGGGGATTGTTGATGTCATTTGCCTTTTCTTTCTCAATTTCTGTGTTAAAACCCAGTGGCATCCCCAGAAATTTTTTTTAAATGGGGGGAGTGAAAATCAATCCCTGTGGTATCTACGAGAGGGAGTTTAGCTTGGAGCTGGACATTGTAATGCTTCTTCATTGTTTGTCATAAAAAACCCTGTGCATCCAACACATTTACATCAAATTTAAAAAACACAAAGATTTCTGAAAAAAAAAGCGAAAGTTCGAACAGTTTTTTTTAAACCAATTTTTTTGTTTTAGATTCTTAAAACTGTTTAATTTGCCTGTTTTTGTTTCGACAAAAAATATCCAACAAAACTATTGGTGTTTCAACTTTTTTTTTAAATTATGATTTTTAGTGACATACGTTTTTTTATTTTGATTTATTAAATACGGTAAATTATTTATTACAATTGTATTCAAATACATTCATTTAATAGGCATAAAATTTTATTGTATGTCTTGATTTAAAAGATGAATTTAGCTGTGTGAACATTAATGTAATTTATTAAGGGGGTGGGGGAGTGGTGGCAGGTGGTTTTTCCTAAGAGATCCAGTTGGGTGGCCAACAATTTTCCAGGGGTGGCTATGAACCCCAATGGCCACTCCTTGAGGGCCCTAGCCTGGCAAGCCAGACTAAATAAATGTATGATTTATTTTATGTATGTATTATTCTTTGCAAAGCAAGAATTTGGTCTAGAATTTGGTCTAGGGCTGCATGGTGGCGCAGTGGTTAGCACTGTTGCCTCGCAACACGAAGGTCGCAGGTTCGAAATTCGGCTGCGGCCTTTCTGCGTGGAGTTGCGTGTTCTCCCCGTGCATGCGTGGGTTTTCTCCGGGTACTCCGGTTTCCCCACAGATCACAACATGCCCTATAGGTAAAAAAAAATTGTAAGTCGCTTTGGGTAAAAGCGTCTGCTAAGCACATAAACATAAACATAGTTCACTAGGCTATGAGGGCCCCACTGTTAAAACTATCAGAAATCTCCAGTGTGCTCCTGTTCAGTACTGCTTGTATGCTTGCACCACCTTTAAGTCTCTGATTTAATAATTTTTTATTCTGCAGAGTCAACACCCTTATCACAAGACACAAAAGAACAGGAAACAGTTGAAAGAAAATCACTTATGTTTACTTGCCAAAGTGTTTAAACATCTTTTTATTTATTTATTTATTTATTTATTTATTTATTTATTTATTTATTTATTTATTATTTATTTATTTATTTGTTTGTTTATTTATTTATTTATTTTCATGTCCTGTCTGGCTGCCTGTCTGGCAGAATTAATGCCTGAATGCTGGTGACAAGCCTTACAGATTTACTCTCAGGTGGAGCATCAAAGCGTCTGCTTTTAATGTCATGCCTGATACTTAAAACTTTATTGTTGTTGTTTTCTGAATGCTTTGTAATTTCAACCGGACATGGAGACAGAGGTGAAAGAGAAAGGAAGAGACGGGGGGGTCCACGAAAATAATCAATGATGAACAAGAGTCTGCTTCTAGAACTGCAGAAAAGGGACACACAACAATACAACAGGAGCAAGCTATTACTGCATCAGCTTGAAGAAATGTAAAATCAACATTGTTTTACTGAACAATCACACGATAATAAATCACAGTGCATTTAGTGCCAACCACAGCCTTAAGACAAGTGTTGAACGTGCCCAAGTCCATTCTTATGAGAGCACCATGTGAGCACCTGTGTATGTACACGCGCTTGTTTATGTAAGGTTTCTCTATAGGAGCGTTCAATAGAGAGTGTGAGGGGCCACAGATCTGTCCCCCAAAGATGCATAGGAGATGGAGGGAGCTCCAAGTCCCAGAGATCCAGGAGCTGCCCCAGAGCACAGGGACCCCAAGGAGACCGCGACCAGAAAAGCCCCTGCCCCCCTCGAGAGGCGCAGAGGATTGCCTCGGGGGGCCACAACCAGCAGCCGGCAGAGTCCCGGGAGATATCAGCGGCAAGCCCACAGGCCCGCCCGCAGCCTCTCACCCCCCAGCCGACCGAGCTCGTGACCCAGCAACCCGGGACCCAGGGGCGACCACTCCCGCCGGGGACCCAGCAGAGCCCATGGACCCAGATCCCACTAGGCAGCCACCGGGATTGATCAGGCAGACGCCAAAAATCTCAAACCCCCTGACCGGGGAGCCGCAAACACTCAGGCCGACCAAGGCATCACACTCCACACCAGGTGTGGCAGGGGGAGGGGAGACGAAGATGTATAGCATCAAAAGAATTCCCAGGAGAAGGGAGGAGTCAAAGGCCCCACCTGACATATACAGTCATACAAAGACACAGTCACACACTCCCTCCCTCATGCTCACACATACACATACAACCAAAGACTTACAAAAATGCACGCCAGACACCCACTCATGCTCCCCATACACACCCTATTCACTCTGGTCCCGGTACTGCTGCACATGGGGTACAACCATTACCGGTTCCCAGAGTTCGACCCTTTCTGCTGGGGTGCTGATGAGCAGGCTTCCCTGCCCAACGCTGAGCAAAGCAACCCACCACCCCAGACCCCAGCAGACGGCCAGATCCCCCTCCTAGCCTCCAGTCCCGGGAAGCCACTTTCGAATATAGTGCAGCCATTTTTAATAATAATAATAATAATAATAATAATGCATTGAACTTATATAGCGCTTTTCTAGACACCCAAAGACGCTTTCACACACTCTCACATTCACACACTGCTAGTGATGGTAAGCTACTTGTAGCCACAGCCGCCCTGGGGAGGTCTGACAGAGGCGAGGCTGCCATTTGGTGCCGTCGGCCCCTCTGACCGCCACTTACACAGGCAAGTTGGGTGAAGTGTCTTGCCCAAGGACACAACAGCAGGATACCCCTGGCGGGAGCTGGAATCGCACCCATGACCCTCCAAACATGAGGCAACCCGCTCTACCACCTGAGCTACTGCTGCCTTCAGCGATCTTCAGATTTTATGTGTTACTGCTTATAGGCCTCCGAGGCACAGTGCACTTTTTATACAGGAATTTTCCGAGTTTTTATCAATTCTGCACAACTCTTTTGATAGTATTATTTTAGCTGGTGATTTTAATTTACACATAGATGACCCTGCAGACCCTTTTACCACAGAATTTTTAAACATTTTGAGTTATATGGATTTTACACAACATGTTGCATAACCAACCCACAACAGAGGACACACCCTGGACTTGGTCATCACATATGGTCTGTCCACCGGTGTGTCCTCTGTCGTGGATTTAGCGATCTCAGATCATTTCTGTGTGTTTTTTAACATCACCAGCATAATTCAGCAGGAGACCTCTGTGAGAACTGTAATGAAACGCCATCTAACCCCTGAAGTGGCTGCTGGTTTTCTGGAAACTTTTAAAAAGATCCCTCCTATTAATTTAAATGCCCCCTGTGATTTTTCTTCAATGATTTTAACAGTAGACTTAAATCTACTCTGGATATGCTCGCTCCACCTAAACTTAAAAAGCTACAGCCAAAACCGGCTTTCCCTTGGAGCAATGAAAACTTAAAAATGTTGAAAAGATCTTGCAGGGCGGCAGAGAGAAAATGGAGGAAATATAAGAACACAATTAATAAACAAATATACACTGAATTATTAAAATCATACAACAAAGCAGTTAGAAATTCCAGGAATAATTACATTTCTAAAATCATCCCTGAACACAAAAATAATCCCAAAATTCCGTTTTCCATAATTACAAATATTTTGGGTTGTGAATTTAGTTCTCTCCAGAAAACACCCTCGGATGCTCTCTGTGAGGAGTTTGCAGCCCACTTCAGAGGGAAGGTAGACACCATCAGATGTAACATTTTATCCTCCCAATGTCATGCTGCTCCCGATCAATCTGAGAGTGTGTGTCTACCTGAGGAAACACTGGACAGTTTTGTCTTGGTTGAAGCTGAGATTATAGATAAAGTTTTCCCCTCAGTGAGGCACACCACATGTGTTCTGGACCCTATCCCCACAAGGTTTTTTGAACAATTGTATGACTCTTTTAGAGATGAGATTTTAGCTTTGATGAACTGTTCCCTTCAGACGGGGGTCTTTCCTGCTGCTTTTAAACGGGCGGTGGTCAGACCCCTGTTGAAGAAGAGCAATTTAGATTTTAATGACTTTAACAATTTTTGACCGGATTCCAACTTACTATATTTAAGCAAAATTTTAGAGAAGCTTGTTTTAATACAACTTAATGATTTCATCAACCACCAACATGTCCTAGAGAAATTTCAGTCTGGTTTTAGGGTGAACCACAGCACTGAGACGGCCCTTCTGAAGATTTTAAATGATTTTAGAACAAATTATGATGCTCAGAGGGCAACAGTGTTGGTTCTGCTGGATCTAAGTGCTGCCTTTGATACAGTAGACCACACTATTCTTTTAACCCGTTTAAAATAGATTGGCCTCTCTGGTGCTGTTCACAGTTGGTTCACTTCCTACCTCACAGACAGGACTTTTATGGTGAGTTTGGATACCTGTTCCTCTGGGGTCCACAGCATCACATGCAGTGTGCCTCAGGGTTCAATTCTAGGCCCAGTGCTTTTTAACCTCTATATGCTCCCTCTGGGCAGCGCCATCAGGAGACATGGGGTGAATTTCCACAGTTACGCTGACGATACACAGTTGTACATCTCCGTGTCTCCTGATGACGCACAGCCAATGGAAACACTTTTTAACTGCATTTTAGATATTAAATCATGGATGACTGAAAACTTTCTCCAGCTCAACCAAGGCAAAACTGAAGTTTTAGTCATCGGTCCTGAGACCCAGAGAGAGAAACTTTTACCTAATCTACAATCAATGTCTTTTTATCCATCACTACAAGTGAAGAATCTGGGTGTTATTTTCGACTCTGAGCTGACTTTTATCCCCCACATTAAAAACATCACAAAAACAGGTTTTTACCATCTTAAGAATATCGCCAGAGTCCGACCCATTCTCTCTCGGGCCAATGCGGAGACGCTAGTGCATGCTTTTATAACCAGTAGAATTGATTACTGCAATGCCCTGCTTTCTGGTCTTCCCAAAAAGAGCATCTCAGGTTTACAACTTTTACAAAACTCAGCAGCACGTGTCCTTATGAAGACTAGGAAGCGGGAGCACATCACTTTGGTTTTAAAATCACTCCACTGGCTCCGCGTATGTTTCAGGATCGATTTTAAGGTTATTTTAATGGTTTTTAAGTGTCTTAATGGTCTCAGGCCTTCTTATCTTTCAGAACTGCTTTTACTATATAAACCCTCGCGGTCTCTGCGCTCCTCTGGCAGCCGTCTCCTAATTATTCCTAAAGATAAGACACACACCCACGGCGAGGCGTCCTTCAAGTACTACGGCCCTCGCCTTTGGAATGGGCTGCTGGAGGACCTCAGGGCCGAAGGGAACGTCCAGGCTTTTAAAAATAGGTTCAAGACCCACCTTTTTAGCTTAGCTTTTAACTGATTGCTATTTATCTAGTCTACCTTGTTTATATATATATATATATATATATATATATATATATATATATATATATATATATATATATATATATATACATATTTATCTCTTTTAATTAATTTTATTATTTTATTTACATCTTAGTGTTTTTACATGATTATGTTTTCTTTTACTATCTTTATAATCACTTTTTATCAGCTTTTGTTATTTTACAGTTATATATTTTTCCTCCAGTGTTTCCTCTGCGGAGCCCTCTGCCTTTGGGCCGGTGGTCGGCGGCGGCGGCCGGGGCGCTCCTCGGGTAGTGCCCGGGCAGTGGTGGGGGTTTCCGCCCTCCCCCCCCCAGGGCGTCATGGGCCCGTGTCTTGGCTGCTGCCGTGGATCTGTTACTGTCAGGGCAGATGGCTCTGCTGATGATGTGTCGTCCATTACCTGACCCATCTGAACTCAGCCTATTGTTTACTCTGTTGTTCACGTATGTGTGTGTGTGTGTGTGTGTGTGCGTGTGTGCTTGTATCTGGGTGATTGTATGTCCACCTTGGAAGTTGGTTGCGGGAGGGGAACCGTAATTGTCAATTGTTTTATACTTGGGGAGGTGGGCTGGGATGGGAATATGGGATCTATGGGGCCATTTTAATCTGTGAAGCACTTTGAGTTGCATTTTTTTTGTATGAAAAGTGCTATATAAATAAAGTTGATTTGATATGATTTGATTTGAAGTGACAACAGAGGTGTGCTAAGACCCCTAGTCTCCCTCCGCCTGCTCCAATATAGTGTTAGTGCGTGTTGATGAGATGTATTCCATGGCTGTGGTGAGCGGGCATCATCTGGCCTATGCCAGCTGATGCCACCACACTACCCCACTTGCACCCACAGCCCTCGGTGTCTAAGTGCAGTTTAAAATTGGAAGTGAGCACCGGCACTCGGGATGAGGTTGAGAAATCCCCCTGCCAAATGCCGTTGAATGTGCTCACTCCCAAGGCCCTAAGTGTGTGTTTGCGTGGAATGTTATTGATGGAAGTGTTTAAGGTGCAAATAAAATTGGGGGGCAGGTTGCCACAGGAATGCGGAAATGGGGTCCATACCTGCACCCCCTGACTTGTCCACCCCAGAAAAGTCCTATGTGCATGATTGTGTGATGATGTGAGGGAGCAGGAGGAGAAAAATATGTGGGGATGGGGAGGAATGGCTGGTTGGACTTAAGCCCTCCAGGGAGCCAGCTCCCGCACTGGCCCCAATAGCCACCTGTGTTGTCAAAATGCCACAGAGGGCATGTAGACCACAGCCCATCTCACCAGGGTCCAAAGCAGCAACATCACAGAGTTTCACGGAGTCCGAGGGCACCAACCCAGCCCCATCCCAGCAGAATATCTACTCCCATCCCTGCATTTGCACAACTTCCAGAATATATAAGACATAGGACACCCAGGTAAGGTTGGGTCCTCCCCCTCCTGGACATCCCCCTCCCCTGTGATGGAACAGCAGAGGAGCCAAGGTCTACCCGAGGCCCCTGAGCCCGGGCCAGGCACTGCCGCATGTTCCTGCCTTCTTCCCGGCAGCATACATGTCAGGACCCAACCCCCAAGACTCCGCCCAGATCCCCACACAGGGTCGGCCACCCCCACACCCCGAGCCCTCAGGCCCAGTCCCGCTCAGGGGCAGTGCAGCTGCCAGGCAGCGACCCATGGCCCCCGCCAAGACCCCCAAGGGGGTGAAGTGGCTAAATATCATTAGCTTGTGTTACTTGTTGCACTCTTTGATGCTATTCAGCACACACTTTAAATGTTTGCTTTCCTTCTATTTTATCTCCAGCAAGTGAATGATGTGGTGAATGAGAGCCGCAAAACCATAGAAAAAGTGACTAGAAACTTAGACAGTAAGTATAAAAAACGAATAACATTAAAAACAGAAGAACCGAACATTTTTCCTCCTGCATGACATCAGCTCATACTGATTTATTTGCATGTTACAGACATTGGACCTCAGATTGGAGCAAACATCCAGCTGAGCTTTAATGGATCTCTCTACCCGGCTCTCCAATCAGTCAAACGTCTCAGCCTAGGTAAGACCTGCCATTGTGATCTGTCCCGAGTCAGCGCGAGTATGTAAATACTTCATGTTGATCTTGTTGGGTGTGCTGCACAAAGACCATTCATTCATTTACTAAAAAATGAGCTTCAAGAATCTGTTACAGTTTTATTGGTTGAATGAATGACAGATACAGGAAAGATAAAAATTATACTAGTCTAAAGAATAAAAGGAACAATAATTACAATCACAGTGCTTATTAAGATTTAAAGCAGAAAATTGAACCTAGTGCAGTAATTTCCATAATCTGATCATGTTTAATGTCTGCAACAATTAATTAACAACAATTAATTAATTAACAATTAATGTAAGTACAACATGTATCACTCATGTTTAATGTCTGCAACAGTACTGGGATTAGAGCTTTGAAGTTCTTTAGATTACCTATATTAATTTGTCATGTATTATAGGCCGTGGGTGTCCAGGAAGTTTTGTAGATATGAGTCTGCAAGCAGTGGAGCCTAACGGTTACTCTGAGAAACTGAAACCTGACCTGTGGACATTCCTATGCCTAGGGGCCCATTGTGTCAGATAAAAAAAAAAACTCAACAGGTTTTAACTAGAAAAACTCACTATGATTGTATGCATGCTTGCACCAGATAAAGATAAATTAAGTTCTGAAATCAAATATTAACATTTTCACATGAGGAAGTTCATGTTTTCCAAATAGTCTTGAGGAAACTTGGTAGATACCTATGAAGAATTGTTTTGTTGCTTTTCCAAAAGCAGGCGACAGTTTTTGAGTCATTCAGTGCTCAGCGTGGATTTTCAATTGTAGGATTTTTAATTAAATTCTTGCTGTTAAAAAAAAAAGAAGTTCAGCAGCACACTGAGGGGTTGTCTTGACCACAGTTAACCCTTTGATGTCAACCAAAGCAAAATTTAGTCCTATATTTGACTGAAGCATGCAATGAACCTAAAAAAACAACAACAAATACATGAATGAAAAAATAACTGGTTTAGCGACACATAAATCCTTCAAGATTGTCTTAAAATAGAATCTCTTTCCAAATTGTCCAACCAGAACCTAATATGTGCGTGCTCTTTAATTTGTCCGATCAGAGATCCTGACAACTGAATCCCAGCTGGACAACTTGAACTCATCCTTGGTCCAGCTGCAGTCCAGCGTCGACCGTGTCCAGACCAACATCTCCTCCGTTAAAGATCAGCTCAATCAGACACTGAACAATCCAAACTGCATTGATTGCAGCTCACTGATTCCAGAGCTACAAAAGCTAACGCTAGATATCTCAATTAATGTAAGTACAACATGAATCGCTCTTTTTTTCTTCTTCTGTTGATGCTTTTGAATGGATGAGTTAGTTCCAGGAATAGTTGATGACAACAGGAGTTAAGCAAGAGGGCTCAGAACATTCCCTCCTGGAAGCTCAGTCATGGAAGACATGAGTCAGTTTACCTAAAACGGGGAGGATCTGCTTTTACTTGCATCATCAACAATACACAGGAAGGCAGAGTCATTGTGACGGATGATGATGATGATTTGTTCTCTGATCTCCTTTTCAAAACCTCTACAGATCTTTTTAAAACTTGTTCCTTGGTCTTACGTCTCATATTTATTTACTTATAGTTCATTTATCTGATTTCTAATTTAAAAACAAATGACCAAAAGTGTTGCTGTTCTCTTATTTCCAGTGTTGGGAGTAACCCGGTACAAAAGTAATTAATTACTGTAATGCATTGCTTTTTGCTATAATGTGGTAATGTAAGGCATTACAGGGAAAGAAAATGGTAATATTTACTCGGTACAATTGTCAGTAATTACAATGCATTTTTAAACCCAGAATCAAGATGTGGGTTTCCTAAAAATTAAAATTGCGGGAAGCTTGAAAAAAGATCCAGTATCCACAACTCATTGCTGCTGGAGCGCAGCGCATATTAAGCTTTTTTTTTTTTTTGCGTTCGGTAGATCCCTTTGGCTGATTAGTTAGAAAGTAGGACATCTAGGAAACAGTTTTTCTGGAAGGTGGAGAAAACATGCAGGAAGGTTAGAGAGAGAAAGGGCAGGAAATTATTTCAAATAAAATCAAGAAAACAAAACAAAGTGCTTGAAAAGAAAAATTGTAGGTAGACTTATCCCCAATACACATTTTTACCAGTGAAAAGCAATAATATATAAGCATTTAATATTTATACAAGTGATAGAATCAGATCACCCCAGAAGTCTGTCCCACATCCAGGGCCGTATCTAGGCATTTGGGGACCATGGCAAATATAGGCTTGGAGCCCCCACCACCTCACTCCCTGCTCAGTTAATATAAGATGGCAGCGTGCTGAGAGTACAGATTGTTGTTGCTTTTATTTAATAAACAATCATTTTAAAGCACTGTTATTATATCTGACTGTTTTTAACAGCAATCCTAGCTCAGACACCACATCACTTTCCACATATATGTCATGAGCTCACTGAGCGTCAGATTACCAGATTCATATTGAAGTTGTGTTGGTGAAAGTAACTTAAAGTAATGCAAAAGTAGTGTAATGCCTTACATTTTAAAATCAGTAATATTGTAATGTAATGAATTAATTTAAAATGAGGGTAACAAGTAATAAATAATGCATTACAGTTTTGAAGTAACTTGCTCAACACTGCTCATTTCTACTCATCTGTAAATTGGCTGCTGTTTGGCTAAACGATATGCTTTTGTATTGTTGCACTCTGCTGCCCTCTTCTGTTATTTAAATGTACTGCATGGTTTAACACGTTGGTTTTTGGTTTTAACGCTGGCTTAAATGTGTGTGTGTGTGTGTGTGTGTGTGTGTGTGTGTGTGTGTGTGTGTGTGTGTGTGTGTGTGTGTGTGTGTGTGTTCCACAGGAACCAAACCTGCAAAAAATTCAGTCAGCGATTAATGAAATGGTCCGCGTTAATCTCTCATCCAAAATAAGTCAGGTCAGTAACAACTTTTTAAAGAAAAACAACAAACTGTAACTAAGGAATGAGTAATTAAATGTGGAAAAGGGAATTCGTGAAACTGGGAAAGATTAGTTATAAAACATCAAAGGTGATAAATGAGAGAAACGTATAGAAAACTTTTTATATGATTTCACAGGCAGAAGACAGTTTAGACAGCATTCCCCAGAGGCTGACCAATGAAACCAAGGATGTTGTTAAAAGTGAGTAAATATAAAAATTTCAGACTTTTAGTTTAGTTTAGTTTTGATGCAGCGAGTTTTAATATTCCCTTTAACTTTTTCTTGTTTTTTTAGACAGCAAACAAGTGCTGGGTGACATAAATCAGCAGATTTCCAAGTTTTCCAGTGAGATCCCACTCTCAGCTTTAGATAATGTTTCATCGCTCCTGAGCCATGCACAGGACCAGGTGGACAAATACTCACTTCAAATAGAGAGCTTTGAAAATATTAGGTACAAAACACGCACACACACACACACACACACACACACACACACACACACACACACACACACACACACACACACACACACACACACACACACACACACACACACACACACACACACACACACACACACACACACACACACACACACACACACACACACACACACACACACAAAACATTTGTGTGAAAGATGATTGCAAAAAATTTCTATTTTTTATTTTCTTTTGTAGATGGGCTGTGTGTGTGGCCCTGTGCTGTGTTGTTCTCCTGATGGTTGTGTGTAACCTCCTGGGTCTGGTTCTGGGCCCCCTGGGTCTGACACCAAACGCAGACCCAACAAACCGCTCCCCCACAGCAGACTGTGGAGGCATCTTTTTCATGATGTGAGTTCTGTACTGAATGAACAGCATATGATCACCAATCCCTGATGTCGTCTTTGACCTCTGACCTGGATGTGGTTGCAGGGGTGCAGGTTTCAGCTTCCTGTTCTCTTGGCTGTTCATGATTGTGGTGTTGGTGCTGTTCCTGCTGGGTGGAAACATCTACACTCTAATCTGCCAGCCGTGGAACAATGGGCTGCTGCTAAAGGTAGTGAAACATGATTACAGATCTCTTATCATTTTAGAAGATGCACATTTATATCGAAGCGTTCTACTATTTTACTTTCCAACTTTAGTTTTTTTTTCTTTTATATATAGCGCCAAATCATGACAAGAGTCGTCTCAAGGCACTTCACATAGTAAACTTTCCAATACTGGTCAGTTCATTAAGGCCCTGTCCACACGTAGCCGGGGATCTGCCAAAACGTAGATATTTTTCTACGTTTTGGCCTGTCATCCACACGAAAACTGAGTTTTTTCACACGAAAACGGATCTTTTTAAAAACTCCGGCCAAAGTGAAGATCTGCGTTTTCTCCGTTTTGGGTGTCTGCTTGTGGACAGACAAAACCGGAGTTTTAAGGTCCGCAACGTCACTTTCCGCAACAAAAAATGCTGACATCACGTGTGCGACCTGTGTTTACACTAGCCGGCAGCATGGATGCCCTCAGAGCTGCGCTCTGTCACTACCCGATCCATCAATTGTCCAAGCGCTTTTTGCTTGTTTGTTTTGCAAGCGGAATTACTGCTCCTTGCGGAAGACCACAGATGAAGGACGAGGTTAAGAACGGGGGAAGTACTGCCGCCTACAGGTCTGGCATGTCCTTAACAACGTATTTATCTGGGTACGTGTGGACAGAGTTTTTTTTAAAACGAGGTGGTGTGGATGCAAGTTTTTGGAGGGGCGGATATTTGTTTTTAAAAAAAACCCGGCTACGTGTGGACTAGGCCTTAGTCTATCAGAAAAAAGTTTTCTATATAAGTCTAACATCCAAAAGGGTCACTTTTCTCCTATATATTGATCAACACAATAACTTTTCATCTACAGAAATAAATCCACTTTCTACGTGACCTTCTAAATCCAGAAGGTTCTGCTCAGCGCATGTTGACATTCCATGAAGACAAAACATTCAAAACAAACATTCTCACCCAAGGTTCCTGCACTCACTGTGTGAACGCCAGACGTCAACATTCTTCACTCTGAAAAGTGAATAATCATATGTGATGAATGAACAAGATGACCGTAAATGAAATGTTTAAATAATCTGTGCTTAAATCAATGAGTTTGAAATGACTATTCTTCGTACAATGATCCATTTATATCACAAATCACTATGTGTTTGATTTGATTTGTAGCTTCTTCTGATCTGATCAGATCTGGTTTGTTATCCTGTTTAACTAGACAAGATCTAGAAAGACTCGAGTCGTCAACGTCACACTCAGGGCTCTTAGATGTTCATCAACTCTCCTTTCCCTGCAGCTACCTTGACTTTTTATTTATTTATAAATCATCAAACTAAAGCCGCTTTTCACACAACCCTTTAAACCCAGGCCTGGGACAATGACAAACCATGGTTCTACCTCTGCCATGCCCCATAGCTGAAATGCACAAATACCGTCGTCTATTCTTCTAAGCATGACACTGCACTTTTGCCAGAACTTATTCTTGCAATGTGGACCATTTAACAGTTATTTACATACTTTTTTCACGACCTGATTGTTACTTAAACAATGCAAAAGTCAGCATGAACTTTTTGTATTGAAACAAAAATAAAAGATTTTTCTTTTGTGTCCACAGATTGTAGACACCCCAGGTTTAATTCCAGGACTGGATCTCGGCCCAAACGTGGGACTTAAGACCAAAATCAACATCTCTGATCTTTATAGGTATGCTGCTGACACAAAACAAACCAATAAACACATTCTTCACAGCCACATCATTTATAGAATAAGTGTTTTACCATTTTTTCATTGTTTCCATGTTGTTTATGTTTGTTGACAATCTTTAGAGACTGTGTAAAGAACAAGCCGCTGTGGACAACTCTTCACTTAAATGAGCTGATAGACCTCCAAGCGCTTCTCAACATATCCAGGGTGAGTTTTGTGCCTCACTTTTAGTGACGAGGATTAAAATGTTTGAAAGTTGTACTACTTCCTCTCTGTTGATCACATTCAGTACACGGGGCAGATCCAGGGGCAGTTCAACAGCACAAACATCACTCTATCCATAGATAATCTTCTGAGCCCGGAATTAAAAAGCCAGCTTGGCAATTTCTCCGCCAACCTGGAAGATTTCAACACCTCAGCTGTCACACAGCAGGTAGGTCAAGCTGCTGTCATTATTTAGGTGACACCTGCAGCCGTGATCCCTCACTTCCTGTTTTCCCTCTCGCCTCAGATGAACAGCGTTTACCTCATCAACCTGAATCAAACTGCAGACAAAATTACAAATCTCAGTAAAGTCCAAGTGAGTCTCATTACACTAATACCCACTACTACCACAACACCACGTCTACTTCATTTATGTACAAATCTGTCTTTTCCCTGTTTTTAGACAAACTCAAACATAAAACAACAACTTTCAGATGAAGCCACAAAACTAAGGCAGATCCAAGCTGGCATAGAAACAAACATCTATCCACAAATGGTGAGAGCCATTTCCATTTCCTCAAACGTCCTGCCTCCATTTTTAAAGCCTATTTGTTTAAATCTAACAAGATTGTTTTTTTCCCACGAAGAAAAACCTGAATTCGTCTATCAACACTCTTCGATTGACCACAAGGCAAACGAATGTGAGTGAACCAGCTAACGCCTGGAGCTGTTAGGGTCAGAGGTCGCTGTCCTCCCCCCCCTCCCCCCCCATAACTCTCCTCCTGTCTTCTCTGGCTTTTCCAGGGAACAGTGGGGGAGGTGCTGAGCTCTGTTGGAGCAGCACAAGACTTCCTCAACACAAACACAACACAGATCGTAAAGACCGTGAGTAGAAGCACGAGTCACATGAGTCGGGAGAAATGTGCTCCATGTGGTCTGTTAATGCCTGAGGTCGGGCAGTGATTTAGCAGAAAGGGGCAAATGGGGAGGTGCTGTGTGCGTGTGTGTCTGTGTGCGTGTGCGTGCATGTGTGTGTGTGTGTGTGTGTGTGTGTGTGTGTGTGTGTGATGGTTCCATATCCACAGGGTATGAATCACATCTACTGTCCAACCAGGGTTATTTTTAGTCATGCTTGTTTGAAGGGAAGCATTAGTTGATTAAGATACACAGAATTTCTGCTTCTACTGAAACTGAAGCTGGCTGTGCCTGGAGTTGGTACAGATTTAGGTAAGCAAGCATTTAGGATCTCTGCTCCATCAGCCTGGAGCCAGCTACAGAATCGCCTAAAACTAGAAAATCTGGTCTCATTTGGTCATTTTAAAATGGGGGCAGTGGTGGATGTCAAAACGTTCTATTCTTTAATGTTGGTCAAATCTCTGTACTATTAATGCATCATGTCTGGTATGTTTCTCCCATTGTATCAGTATGTGTGTGTATGTAGGTGCGCATGTATGTGTGTACGTACACATATACGTGTGTGTGTGTGTGTGTGTATGTATACTGTACGTATACACATGTATATGTTACTTCCTAACATTGGTCGAACCCTTGTAATGTCAAAGTTTTATGTTTGTTCAATGTTTTTTCTAACTGTATTTTATGAGAAGTTTTAATGGCGGCCTTCTAGGCCAGGGCACCTTTGCAAAACAGACATGATCTCAGAGGATTTCCCTGGTTAAATAAGGGTTAAAATAAAATAGATTACGATTTAAATGACCTTTAATAGCCATTTCAAGTTTAAAATGGTGGGATAATAAGTCTTAATATCCTGAGTTTTCTCATTTTTGAGTCCATTTTAGGTTAAAATTATTACTTCTTTTTTTACAGAGAAATACAAAAATAAAAGTTTAATTTCATATTTAAGTGTAAACCTCTACTTGGCTTTTTAAAATTTTGTATAAAAAAGGAAAAATTACAAATGTTCTGGCACTTTATTAACAAAAATATGAGAAAAATATAGAATCACGTGATGAAAAATGCTGAGAAAAATAAAACAAGTTATTAATACCAGCTGTTGACCACTTCTCTACTTTTAACCATACTTATTAATAAGATAGAAGCCCTGACTGGTGCTGTGAATGAAATTAAATGTTTTTATCGCTAATTAAAACACATTTTAAAGTTGTATCACCTTTTACTTTGATGCAAGGTGAATTAAAATGTACAGCTCACCTCTATTTTCAGTCAAACATTCTTATTTGAACAACTCCTTTTTAAATATTTAGGCATATTTGTTTCAGAAATGTAATTTCCACTTCATCAGAAATTAAAAACGAATTTAATATTTTCCATAATATAATTGCCATTATTTTCTGTTATTTCTAGGAAAGCAGGAGGTTTTTAGACTGTCAGCTGGGATACTTCACTGCCTTCACTAACTGGGCCAGTCTCACAGTGAGTCCTTTCAATTATTTATCCATAATTATAGAATGAAATGTTGTTTTTGCACATCGTTTGCTGTGATGCACGTGTTCTTCTTCAGATCACACAGGAAGTGGGGCGCTGCGGGCCGCTGGCTGGAGCTGTGCAATCTCTGGACGTCATGTTCTGCTACAGCATAGTGGAGTCTCTGGTGAGGACCGGGTGTCGATAATTAAACCATCTGGGTTGATTTTTATCACACGATCTAGCAAAATGTTTACTTATCTTTCCCATTATCTTCTAAAGAATGCCTTCTGGTTCAGTCTGGGCTGGTGTTTGATCTTCTTCATCCCCAGCATCATCTGTTCTATCAAACTAGCAAAGTACTACAGGAGAATGAAACACTCCAACGGCAAAGATGAGTAAGTTGGGGGGAAAAAAACGTTTTTATGTGCACATTATGTTGCAGATCCATTGCTGAAGCGCTCATTGTCTGTTTGTAGCAATCACATCCTCATGAGCCACATCCCACGGGCTCAGATGAAAGTCATTTGAGAGGACACCAGATGTGTGGCTCAGCTTCGAGCGACTGTGGGCACAAATGTTGCATCACTTGATAAAATATAAGCACATGTGGCCCACTCGTTGCACAGATGTGGCCCATTATCTTCCTTTAAATTCCAGGTTTCACCATCAGGGGGTGCAGCAAAACAACAGAAACTGACTGGTGTTAATTTGCAGGATAAGTCTTTTAAAAGCGGGTTTAGGGGCGTGGGACATTTCTAAAGATTTCTTTCAAAGGTGTTTATCTGCATACATTTCATATCTGAACTAAGCTGCTGTTAACACACTTTATTAGCTTAATGTTAAGATTTATAGCGATGCACAGTTCTGTCAGTTTTGATAGAAATGTGGTTTGTCCAACAGGAAATGACCTTATTTTTGACCAAATTCTTACTTTTTACTCACACTTAATGTTATGAACCACAATTTCTTGAAGCCTGATTGAAACACTGGTTTGACTTAATGCTGTTAATTAATTTTCTGTTTATATTATTTATTAATTTTCAAATGTTTTTAATATAACATTTTTTTTAAATCCTCCACTTTAAATGTTACAGTTGTCAGATGATATTCATGAATAAGTAATGGTGGTTTTTCCAACATTTAGTCCTATGAGTAGATAGTGTTGGTTTGTTACACAGCACTTTATCTGGTCTGTTCCTTCAAAGTGAATGTAAAAAGTTTGGAACATTTCTATTAGTTCTTATGCTGTGAATAATAATAAAACAAGTTCAGGGAGTCCCTCTGTTTTTTTAACCAAAAGATAATCTGCCTACCAGCTTGTATAGAGACTGAAATCAAGCCAGATTGAACAAGTCAACATAATACACTTGTTTTGTATCATCAAAACCCCAAAAGTCCTTAAAAATGCATGTAAAAGACAAGAAATGTGTAAAAATTTGAATCAAAATTAGATTTATAGTTAATCTGAATATTTTGTTCAGTTTAATCTGTGGATTATGACATGCTGTTAGGTTTTACCTCAATAAATGCAGAGACCTAACAGGGCCAAGCCTTAATGGGGCCCTAAGCAGGTTTCCTTTTGGGGCCCCCCATACCAACAAGTTAGTGATGTGTCGGTCGCGAACGAACCGGCTCTTAAGCTCTTTGAAGTGAACGACAGGAGCCAGCTCGTCATTGGGAGCTGTCCCCTCCCCCCTCCCCTCTTGCTTTGGTGAAAGCTAAAGGCAATTGGTCAACATGTGTAACTGTGTGTCCAGACTGTCCACACACAGAGCAGCAGGGGCGGGGAAGAGGGAGGATCAGACTCTGACACACAGCAGAGCACATGCAGGTGGAGGGAGACGAGAGGGAATGAGGAGGAGGAAAAAGGCGAGTGAGAGGGAGGAGAGTGCGACGAAGACGGTGAGAAAATGAGCGCCAGCAGTCGGAAAGTGGAGATTTCTTAAAGTGTTCAGTTATTAAATCCATAGAAATGATAAATATTTGATATATTGCATTTTGTCACATTAGTACATCATTTTACATATAGTTTTGCATTATTTTGGTTAAAAATGTACTCTACGCAACAGAAAATCTGAGGAGCCACTTGGGAGCCGAAAGAGCCGGCTCTTTTTGGTGAGCTGAGCCAAAAGAACTGGCTCTCTAAAAAGAGCCGAAATTCCCATCACTACATCAAGTACACTCAATGATTCATCATTCCTAGGCTACACCATTTGTGTAACAGTACCATTAGCATCTTTTGTAATGAGATTACAGCATACAGGTGTTATTATGGCTAATGATTTTAACTTTACAGGAGTAGCAAACCAACAAAAGTGCTCTAATTAATTTGCATTTTGAAATGCAGAGTGTTATTTAAGTGTGGTAAATTCATTCAACAATTTGAAAGTAACATCAGCAGACCAACAGTGAAAAGTAAGGTTTACTATCTTTTGTTCATGCATTTGAAAACATGTAAAATATACTGCACTAAAATCAAATTACACTATAAAAAATAATATAGCTCAGTTGTTTTTTCATGTGAAATATTTAGTTTATTATTAAAGGTGTGGAACTCTGAAAATCCATTTTTATTTATTCCCAATTATAATCAGTCATTCTGAGACATCTTTTGTATAATCATTCTGTGTGTTTCATCTAAATGCTTTTTTAAGTTCTTTGTTTAAAGACAGGAAAGTTATTAATTTTTTTTACCTTGCTAACAGTTTCGATCGCTCCTGCGATCTTCAGAGCTAGCCACTAATGACGGCGTCACTTCCTTCTCCGTTTATTCGCGGGCAGCAGAGAACGGTGTGGCCCTCTGCTGCCAGCGCTCTCCTCACTGAGGACTTAGAACAAAAAGCCAATGCCACTGCCCCCCAAAGTGCAAAACAAAATAATGGAAACACTATGTAGAAGACATACTAGAAATCATACCAAGAGGACAAACAGGGACACTAACGAAAGACCTGAACAATATTGACGACACAGACAACATAAAATTCACAAATGAGGAAGAAACAGAATGAACATGAACATAAGCAAATAAGAAGACGGGACCCTGAATATAAACACACACAGGAAACCAACACACACAGACCAATGTTTATTATGGACATCAGAACACCCTACTATACATAAAAGGCCAGTGATCAATCAGAACATTATACCACCGAGCAAACATAATAACAGAAGAACGAAACTGTAAACATATACAAAATGCTTTAAAGACCTGTGGATACCCAGCGTGGGCAATAAACAAAGGAAAACAACAAAAAACAACAGAAAGAAAAGACCAACCAAAAACAAACAACCAGAAAGCCAGAAAAACTAAAACCAAAACCAGTGATAACTCTTCCATACATCAAAGGCATTACAGAAAAAATAAGAGCAGCAATGAAAAACACAACATACAACACCAACAAAACCACACAACAGTTAGAAAAATACTAGTACACCCTAAGGGCAAGAAATCAGCAGGACATTAGTGTGGAGTCGTTTATGAAATACCATGCAAACTCTGCAGTGAAACATACATAGAAGAAACCGGATGCCAACTCAACACAAGAACATCAGAACATGGCAAGGAGGGAAGGAAACAAGCCAAAGAAGAACAAGAGCAGTAAGACAAGAAGCAGAAAGTACAATAAAGAAATCAGCCGTAACAGACCACTGCACAAGGGAAAACCACATAATGGACTGCAATGGTACAAAGATCATAACCACCGAACAACACAGATATAATAGATGGATTAAGGAAGCCATAGAAATGCGGAGATGTGGGCACTACACCATGAACAGAGACGAGGGGGTCTACAGATCATGCATGGAACTGTGCCATTGGTGAGGAGAGCACGGGCAGCAGAGGGCGACACCATCCTGTGTGCATGCTGAATGTGAAAATAGTCTCTTACACCTACCTCCTGCATTAGCTTCTCATAGAAGATAGACGGTGAAACTAGGATTAGAAAAGCCTGACAGATCTACCGCACACTGTCACTTAGTGTTTGTGGTCTCACGACGGGGAAGGCTGGTGTTGTTTTAACGTCCTTACTTACGACTTATAAGGAATTCTTTCCTGCTAGACACCACTGAAAATAATTGATTAAAAGAGTGTCCTACCCTTTTTGAAACATTGTTTTCCTTACCTCATTGGAGCTCTTGGGGGCCCCTTGGTGTTGGGGGGGCCAAAGCAATCACTTAATTCACATATGTCTTGGACCGGCTCTGCATAAGAAATCCAGCTCTTCTGTTACAGTTTTATTGACTTTATATTTTTCGGTAAACACCTTTTTAAGATAATAAAACTTGGAATTTTTGTGGAATAAAAACAGAAAATTAATTTAGAGGTTGAAAAACAAGCTAAGAATAAAAATTGATTTCAGGCTCTTCGATTCTTTTCTAAAAGAGAATTAGTAGTGTTTCATTTTTAAATTAACCAATTTCAAACCCTGTTTTTACTTTGTGATGTCAGAAAAGCAAAGAACAAAGAGAACTAGGTCTGTTTTTATGCTTGAAACCCTGGAAAGATCTGTGTCATATAGCAATTTCCAGAGAGGACAAAACACCTAAACGACTCAAAACATTTTCTTTTAATCCAGAAATACTTAGTCTTGAACTTTATTAAAACGTTTAATTGGAACTGAAATTATTTCATTAAAAAAGCAAAGCGCAGTTGCTTTCTAAGATCAGTCATTCCATTTCAACAACACATCTTAGTCCTAAACTAGTTTGCATGAATAACCTTTGTGCTGATCAACATTTAAAGGAAAGCCCAAACTGGACTTTGAAGCAGTGATCCATGGAGAGCTGCATAATGGTTCTCAAATCAGTAAACTGGGTCAACTCAAACTTCTAAATTTCATCGCCTTCATTGCTGCATATTGCAATTAAAATGTGCGATGATGCACTCTTCTTCTGTGGTGGTGCATTAATCTGTGCCACTCTGCAGGATAGTCCAGCTGCTCAAAGACAAGCAGAGGACGCCTGGTTTGGAATGCATCACTGTTCACCAGCTATAATTAGAGTGAGTGAATCGATGGCGTTCCAGCAGCAGCAGTCTGACCTAGGGCCTTGTAATTGGAGACGCTGGATGCAGGAAAAATCAATATGAATGGAGGAGAAAAGGCAAAGGTAGGAATCAGGTACTGTCGGTTGATTACATCATCTTAGTTTAGTTAAAACCCCTCCCTTTGCTGCTGATGCATCTTTACATGGAGGGGAACAGTTAAATAAACATGTGCACCCTGTGACCCACATCAGCTCTATTTAGGGTTAAAAGGGTTACTTACACATAAAGGTGTCAGCAGCTGGTTTAGACTGGACCAGAGGAAATTCGTCAGAAAAATAAACTAGAAATAATTTATTTAAAGGGAGACTAAGACGTTTTGGCTTGCTTTTAGCACCCTCTCATGTCCATTTAGTAGAACCAAAAGCAAAGCTCATCTCCGCCCTGTGCATTTGTCTTTTTGACACCCTAAATCTGAAAGCTGAGACGTCTCCCCAGCCTTCAGTAGTGTCTACAAGAGTGATTCATCACTAAATGAAACAAATCACCTGTGTTCATGATCTAAAACAGTGTTTCCCAACCCTGGTCCTCAGAGCACACTGACCTGCACGTTTTCCATGTCCCTGCTTCAGCACACCTGATTTACGCTGCCTCCTCGGGAGGACATCAAGTGCTGCAGATGCTTGTTAATCGCTCATTAATTTAAGTCAGGTGTGGCAGCAGGGAAACACTGCTGTTTAAAAGGGCAACATGAAAAACATGCAGGACAGTGTGTCTTGAGGACCAGGGTTGGAAAACACTGATCTAAAATATGCTGACTGCAGCGCCAGGTATGTCCGCTCCATTTTTTTCTAAACCCAAGGCCCAATACTCGCACTTTCACACTTACGCCCTTCAATTGCGTGTTTCCCGGTCAGAGGTGCGAGTGTGTAGGGTAGTGACAGGTAGATGAGGCCTTGTGAAGCGTTTCGGCACATTACCCAAACTGTATCGATTCTGTGTCAACACCGTGTCACTGTTTGTCTACTGACACCTGCTGGATCATAATCATCTTTGCAGGCAGACTTAATAGCGAGACTCTACTGACATCAAGTCCCGCTGTGGCGTTTACCCAATGTGGGCTGGCCTGACCCCCCGCTCTGACGGCCATATTTCCACATGCATTTTCCATGATGTCTCACATTGACGACATTCTTTTATTAATGTATGAAAGTTTAGTTGAGCAAATGCAACATTTAACCTGCAGAAAATAGCAAGAATGATTTAGTAAGAATCCTTTAGAAACAAAATTCTGATAGATCAAGCAGAAATGGAGAGCAACAGGATGAAACAAGGAAAAAAGAACAAAATAAAAAGAACAAAATGATCCCTCACGGAGCACCATCTGTTTTCTTTCTGGCTCCATGATGTATCAGTGGAATAATTTTGCTTCAAAAGATAGACTTTTTGGCAGAAACTCATCCCGTTGACAGACGGAGACACGGTTCGGCACTTCACTGACAAGCAAAACAGCAGCTGTATCGGTCACGTGACTACTTCCTAAATGATGCGCACCAACGGCACCAACACGGGATCTCGCTCTATGAGCTAGATACATGCGCAGACGCATCAGTGTTGCTCCACCCATCACCAGCGTAGGGTGTCCTTTTGCACCGTTGATCCACACTTAAGGGCCATGGCCATAACCCATTGCTGCGCGAGAAAAGGCTCAAGTGCCTTTTCTGAAAAACATATTTTCCAATGAAAGTAGTTCATTTTTGGACGATTAATTGATGCTCTGAATGTTTTAGACAAGGCAGCAATGCATGTAAAATAGTTTGGTTGTATAAAAAATAAGTAGCACAGTGACCAGCATCCCGGCATGAGCTGTGGTCGATGACGCAGTACTCCCTGTCCCAATTCGGCAATTATTTGCAGTTGTGTTCTATGCACTCGAAGCCTTACTGCACAATTCTTCCAAGTCCACTTCACAGAAGACCGTAGGGCACAGTGCGATGATTGGGCCCAACAAACTGGACCGGCACTGAAGTTGCAAATGCCGTATTCTGGCCACAGAGGGCGGTGGGGGTCTGAGTAACATTTCATTAAGCATGTAAAGGGTCGTTTTAGCACATACTGGCTTAAGAAAATGCTTTTTAAAAATGAAAAAGTTGCATAGTATCTCTCTAAAAGCAATAATTTGGTGAGAAAATACCAATGCTATTAGCACAGAAGTGTAAAACGACCTCTCACACAGAGGTGAAAGTTCAGACCACGCATGTAAGTTGACTCACGTTCAGAGTTTAGTGTCTGACATCATTTAAAATCCATTCTTATGTTACATAAACCCTGAATCATTTTACGACCTAAATAAAGGTTTATTCTGAAAATATAAACTGAATTTACAAAAGAGATGGCTTATTTCATTGGGCTCTAATTAAGACTTAAATAACTAAAAAATTACCACTTATATCCGCCATTTCCCCCCAAAACAGATTACGGTAGTAATTGCTGAAGCAGTAATCGGCGTGCGTGTGTGTGTGTGTGATCACTCTTCGTATGTTAAAAAAAAGGGTCAAAAATAAGTTGATAAGCCAACACAGCAACGTTTACTGGATTATTGCTTTAATATTTTGATTCATTTACATTTTTTTTACTTGGAGGATTATTGATGGCTGAGATTTAGGGAAGAGATTGTGACTAGTTGGGATTCTGCTCACAGACTATGGGCCTACAGCAGTAACGATGTTGCAAGAATACCTTTTGTTAAACCAAGTGGAGTAAATGAACTAATGGTGAGATAATAGGTGTCTTCTAGCTCATTTTGAACATGTATAAATGTGTTTTCATACCTCTAAGAACATTTTTTAATGCAAGTTCAAATAAAGCCAAATCTATCCATCTTTCTACTTTTCTGCCATCAATTTGTTTTCCGCTAATCCCTGTGCTCTTAGATATTAGCTTATTACGGTTTGTGCCCAGTGAGGCTAATCTAATAGACAGTTTCTTGTTTTTGTTGTTAAATGTCCGTGACGGGACATGAAGTCGGAGGAGGACGCGTTTTTATTTGCTGTCACTGTGTAAGAACTGCAAGGTAAATGATGAGGGAGTTGGCGGGCTGTGAAACGACTCGTTTCAGTCGTTTATGCACCATGAGTGTTCAGCAGAGCAACATTATGAAAGATTTGCATGATACAAACCCAGGACAGAAACGTGTGAGAAATCCAGACAGATTTATTTTTAATCGTTATTTTAATGGCATGCGTTTGCTCATAAATACTTACAGTTCCTTTTTAAAACAAATACTTCCTAAATTCAGCGTAGGCAAAAGTTAACAAAGCTTCAACATGGAAGTAAAGGGGAACTTCCTGTTAGCTGCAACAAAGTTTAAAGCAGTTAAGGTTTTGATATAAAACAGGTATAAAGTCAGGCTGTACCAAGAGTGTGATGCGATCTGACATCAGCTGATCAGGTTTGGTCACACATGCTTAAAGGAGACGTCGGCGTGACGCCGATTTAATCAGGAATCAGGTGGTTTCTTATGGAAATTGGAAAATCCAGTTAAAAGACTTTAAACAATAGAGTTGGTTCCATTAAACGGCGTGTTCACGATTCTCTGGTACGCCCCCGGGCTTCTGAGCAACGCAGCAGAAATGTAACACGGGCCTGTCGATGAAAAGCACCGCTGTGAAAGGCACCGGCTGTTTTTAGAGTCAGATTGCCACACAAAAGACACCTGAAGACATCTTCACCTCACCTGCGCAGGGCTCAACAGTTATATCAGTAGTCTTTTACACATTTCCACAAAATCTGTACACACATAAGTTAAAAATCACACTAAAACAAACCTAACCCAGCTTTGTTTTACAGCACTTAAACCAGAAAAACCTTCATTTCAAGAGATGCATCTAAAGTCCGGTTCAAACAATACTGACTGGTGAGATTAAAAAGTGCAAAGGAGAGGACGCACAGAGCCCGTAATAACATTAAAGTCCAGGAAGAAGCAGCAGGGTGCTTGTGTTAGTCGTTACCAGTCCCACACACACTTGAATCCCAATAAGATTAACATTAAAATTGAATTAAAGGTCCAACGTGAGTCAGTTTTACTGGGAATTTAGTCTGGAATGTCCCAGGAGTCGGGCTGAGAAGGAACAGAGGACAAGATGGAGTCCGGAGAGGAAAATGGGAGAAAGGGATTGGGAGAGCGTAACCGGGACACGGCGGCTGTTGTGGGTTCAGTTTGCAGATTTAAACAAGGCCATCAAAGTGGGTGAAAGATTAGGCGTTTATAATGTGGTTAATGTGAAACTAAAAGTCAGCTAACGAACCTTGACCCCAGCTCCTCTACCCAAAACAAAGGGCCAGTTTGTCCAGTTTCTCGAAAGTGGGTTAGAAAGACAGCAGATCGTTTTTTTTTTCTTTTTACAAAGCACTAAAACAAACCCAGAAGTTTGTATTTTCACTTTAAAAGTTCCTCAGTGCAAGACCACACTCATCCGTATGCTTTCAGGAGATAAACCGATAAATCTCCATTACTGTTTCAGTACAGTATACTCTTATATACAGGGGGATAAATAAGAGGGAGGAGATAAATAACACTGGAGATGCAATTTCAAACCCTCCTACCACGTTTACCCTGGTAGGACCAGTAGTCACTTTAGAGCTTCTAGTAGGCAACTTGTTCAAAAACACACAATCAAGTCAGTTAATTATTGTCCCCACGACATATCTGAATACCGTTGTTGACACATTCCCTATTGATCGTGTGGAATGTGCTGCTTTGTTCATGTTTATGTAAGTGGGTCAGCAGGAAGTGCAACACCGGACCGTTGAATGTTTGTAGACGACTGTAACTCGGGTGTTTCTGCACGAAGAGCTGCCGAGTCGGCGCTGGGATCTGTGACACAGCCCAGCGGGTCGGTGGGCTGACGGGGCAGAGCTGGAGGGGGGTAGAGCGGCGACTGGAGGATGTCGACGTAGCGCTGGCTGGGTTTGGTCTCCCGCTGAAGAACCTTTCTCAGAAGCGGCTTCAGCAAGCCGATGGTCAGCTGGCTGCTGTCGGGGTCTGCAAAGGGAGACGGGGAGGAGGGGGTGGCGTGGGACATGAAAAATGTTGCAGGGTGGGAGGGGGTGTGAGGGGACGGAAGGTTTTTCAGCACCAAGTTAAGGATGGTAGTGACAGTGAAGTCTTCGGGGCACAAGGCCCAGAGCAGGTCCAGGTAGGGGTCCAGGTCTCTGTGATGAGTCACCTCACAGAGCAGAGTAGTGAAAATCTCCTTGTTGAGCAGCGGGCTCTGCTTGCAGAAGCGCTGGGCCACCTGGGTGACCCGCTCCCACTGCTGCTTCCTCATGAGGATCCTCAGCGCCTGCAGGATGGCGTTAGGCCGCCCACCGACCAGCAGCAGCTCCACCTCCAGGTCCTGGTCTCCGTCTGGATTCACACCGGACAAGACGCACAACGCCCGTCTGTAGAGGGGCATGTTGTTCTCCCCGCCCTCCCCTCCTCTCCCGCCGGAAAAGCTCCAGGAGGAGGAAGCCAGACTCAAACCCAAACCTGCAGAGCCCTGCTGCTGCTGCGCCAGCTCCAGGAACTTCGGCAACCACGTGGGCTGGAAGTGGAGAATGGACCGACAGAGGAGCTCAAACACAGGCAGGAAGGCTGCAGGTTTACGGGTGTGGTCGTTTCTGACGCCGTGGTTGCGTTTCGGCTGCCCGTTTGTGAATAACAGCACAGCTGTGGGGCTGGAGGTTGTTGTGAGACTGAGGACCGTTTTCCAAACGTCTGGGGGGGCCCTGCTGGACAGAGAGCCCTCCCCGTTGTAGTGCAGCTGTAGTGCAGCCTGAGCAGCCCTCCACGCCTGGCAAGGGAAGATGCTGAAGATGGAGTTCAGGTACAGCAGGGCTTCTTTATCCAACTCGGAAGACGACAGCAGTCTCACCATCTCCTTCTCCACCAGACTCTCACACATGACCTCCACCTCTTTAGGCCCCCCCCTCACTAAACTCCCCTTCAGCTCCTCCAGCGACACCAGAATCCTGAGCTCACCCTCCAGGGAGACCATTAGCTTGCCTTGTCCTGCAATAAGTCCCCCTCCCGGGTTCAGTAGCATCTCTGCGTCCTTCTTCCTCAAACCTGTGCTGAGGTAGCACCTGAGGATGGAGGCTAAAGAGATGGGAGCCTGGAATCGTCCTCGTTTCAGCGCGTCCACAGTGAGCTGGGTGCTGCTCAGGCTCCTCTGCTGGTAGTACTTACACGCCTCCTCAAAGACAGCTTCCACCAGCAGGGCTTCAGGATGAACAGTCTCGACTGGTTTCACCTTTGAGCTGCAGTTCGAGGCGTCCGTTTTCTTGTCCAGAACCACGAAAAGTCCAGTGTCAGACAGCAGAAATGGAGTTTGTCTTCTGGCCTGGTTTACAAATAACATTCCTTTGGCCTTTAATAAAAACGTTTGCAGCTCCTTGCCGCAGCTCGACTCGATTAGGTGCAGTGTTTGTCCAACTACAAGAGCCAGAATGTTTTGGTACATACAAAAGCTGGTGTGAGTGCCGTGTTTTGCCAAACTGTTCCCTGGCAGTTTGTAGACGTGTCTCAGCGTCCCGTCTTTCTGCAGGAGACACAACCAGCCGGTGCTGAGGAGGAGCAGCAGGCCTCCGCAGCCTGTAGGAGAAGCGTCATAGAGCTCAGGGGGCTCGAGAGCAAAAAAATAACCCAAACAATCGGTTATCAGTTTCTTAAAGTCAGATTCTTTGGCTGAAACCTTTTTTATCGGTGTGTTTTTGCACACAGCGCTGACAGTGAACGAGTCATGGTGAGGTGACCAGGTGAGTAAAAACTTAGATGAGACGCACTGCAGTGGTTTCCCTTTCATGTAAGGCACAAGATGCACATAATCACCTGAGCTCATCACGGTGAATTTGGGGCTGTTGTGGAGGGTGATTTTCACTCCTCCTAAACTGACAGATCCGTCCTCCACCTCAAAGTCGCGCCTGCAAACGCAGAACTCCAGCTTGTTCCTGGTAGAGCCGAGGCTCGGGGAGCTTTCTGGGGGTGGTCGCTCCTCACACCAGATGATGAAACTGGAGCACGCGCAGACGGACACAACTCTGGCCCGGGGACCGTTGCACAAATCTGCCGTCTGCAGAAGACGCCAGCCAGCCTTGCGCTCATGGAAGCTCCAGAACTCCGCTTTTCCATTCTCATAAACCACCGCAACAGCCGCCGTGCCTCTGCTGCTGTTATTGTTATTATGATGGTCCAGGTAGCAAATGTCCACCACGGGAAGCGTTCTGGTAGAAGACAGCTCCAGCTTCTTGTGGGTCTGACCCGACTGGGGGCTTTCATACTTGTCAAACGTCACAAGACCGACCTTAGGCTTGCGCAGGATGATATGAATGTGACGTCCATCTGGGCTCACACGAACATCTGACACGCTGTTCGGATCATTAGACAGAGTCAGTATGTCTGTCAGCTCCTGGTTGTTTGCATAGTCCCCGAAATTTGACAGTTCATCCAACCAAAATTCTGACATGTTCACCGCCTAGTTAAAAACAAACAAACAAAAAACGGGGTTTAATGAATTTTTGTCACAACGTATTAAACGAGCCTGTTAGCTTGTGTGGATAATAAATCTAACCTCAGTACTTCAGTGAGGCTAACAGAGGAGCTAGGTCCTGTGGAAGTATTCATCCCGAAGGTGCGGAGGGATACATCCTTCGAAAGCGGTCCATTCTGTTAGCTCCATGTTTGTAAAACGGTAACAGAGCTAAACCGGTAGCTGACAGCGACAGTTCAAAAGTTATTTATGACAGCTCAAACGTTTAGGGGTAAAAAAAAAATAGGTACACTAGTCATTCCGAAGCTGTACTAGCACTCATCTAACGTCACGAGACTGATAACTTCCGGATGCCGAGAGTGTTTTTACATAAGAGGAGGAGCTGAACGCTGACGTACTGACGTAAAGACCATAAACATAAACAAGTAGGCGCCCCATTGGGCGCTGGAGGGCGTAGCCTTGCAGCCATGTTAGATGGGTCTCCGCACTCTCCAAAGTCAATGCAGAGTGATCAACTATGCCCGTTTCTGTGCAGCCTATGGTTACAACAACCGGCGTACAATTGGGAAATAAAAATAAAAAAATCACGTGGTATTACTAGCGACTTTTCTAGCCTACCTGATAGGATTTTATTTGAAAATTAATTTTTTATTTATTTGGTTTAATTATATTTATATTTTAATTATCATGCCATACTTTGGGTCTGATTTTATGATAAAGCTAGATAAAATGCACCTTTTTTTCAGTTGAAATGAACGCACTGGGTCCCATTTAAAATGGCATCAGGCCACATTTTTTATTTTTTTTTTACAGATTTTGTTTTCTAAAACAAGCATTTAATTAGGCCTCATTTAATTAATGATGGGCAGCATCTGCTGATGAATGATGTGGAAAAAGGCAACTGTTTTGTCAAATCATTAACATAAGTTTTCCTAAAGACCTTCTGGACTTACAGATACATCAACTTACACATCTGACTTGACTGCTCTGCGATGGACTGGCTCTCTATCCAGAGTGTACCCCGCCTGATTGCCCATTGATCGCTGGAGATAGCCCCCCCCCCCCCCCCCCCCGCAACCCCACATGGACAAGCGGGTTCAGAAAATATATGGATAGATGGATGGATCTGACTTGACACTGCTCAAGTGATAAAAGGTGAAAACACACAAAAGGATCAAATACAGTTCCACGCTTGTTCCTCAGACAGCTGATGGTGACTGGAGGAGCTGCAGGGACATGGAAGGTGGACAGTAGCAGAGGGCGTCTCATGAACTACAATTACATCCCAAAACTGCCTCATGTAGTTCAGCTCAGAGCCAGAGAGTTACACAATGCATGCATGTGACACATTGGCCCAGACATCACATCCTACTGGCTTTACGTGGACGGCAGCCATTGTGTGGCACAGGGGTGTTGTCGGTGATGGATACCACCTCCAGGCCTCCCATGGCCAGGCCTTTGATGGCAGACAGACGTCCAGGACCCAGACCTTTGACCACCACCCGAACAAATGTGACTCCCTTGGCCGTGGCTTTAGCAGCAGCGGAGATTCCTGCAGTCTGAGAAGCGATGGGTGTGGACTTCTTAATGTTCTTGAAGCCCTTGGTGCCACAGGATGTCCTGACCATGGACTGTCCTGTGCTGTCTGTGAGCTGGATGTGTGTGCTGTTGTATGTGGCATTAATGTGAACTATTGGTAATTCGTCAAACTTCTTTCCGCCCCAGCTCAGTGCGCTGTCTTGGCCAGGCATAGGAGGATAAAAGCTGAACTCTTTGTCAGACTTTGTTTCAGAGGCTTCTGCCTCCTGGTGTCTCGCCGCACTTCTAAACCGGCTTCTGGCCACTATGGCAGCGCCAGTCCATGGCGTGTCTACGTATATGTCTGCGGTAAAGGTAAATTCTTCTTCCTTTGAAGTTTCATGACAGTCATTAATGTATGTGTGTTACTGCCACCTACTTGACAGAAGTGAGGACAGGAAAAAAAACATTTTATTTTTTTAAAGAAAAAGCAAACTTTTTAAAGAATGAATTTAAAATATTGATCCAAAAATAATTATCATTTTATAATTTGAAAAATGTATTTAGGTGTTTTATATACTTTTATGCCCATTAGCTTTAGATTCCATGAAAAAAAATTCTGAAAGTGATGCCAAATTGCTGTGGGTTTCTTAATAGCAGTGTCCTTCACAATCCAAGCTGCTAAGGCCAGTGACTGTTTCCTCCTTTCTTTATTTGACATCATACTTGTCTTTATGTTACCTTTTATCACATTGGCGTTCATTTATTCATCCTAAACCAATTTCCCTCTGGGATTAATAAAGCATTTTTGAATTTGAATTGAATTTCATGATGTTGCTTTAAATTGGTTGTAAAGTATTCTGATTTATTGGTTTGTTGTACTGATATGAATGTATCTGTAATTCCAATATATGCTTTCTAATGACAATGAAAGCTTTTCTATTGTATTTTTTTTAATTGATTGAACTTTTATTTAACCAGATGAGTCAATTGAGAACTCATTCTCATTTACAATGACAATTAGCTTTACAAAGGAACAACAGACAGATAAGATAAAAACAAACAAGATAGAAATAAGATAAAAGCAGTTAGATATAAAAACAAGGGACAGTCCTTATATACAATATGTACAAGCAACCAAAACAGACTGAAAACAATCTTTAAAGAGCAAGTCACCCCAAATCGACATTTTTTTGCTGATAAACTCAGTAAACGAGTGTCTAATCATGCTGTAGACATGTGTAGTCAATAATTATGCACTTTAGTGCATCTTAGTTAAAATTTGAATATTCTGCCTAAAACTGTCAGTTTCAGCACCCTCTTCAGGTAAAAACTCTGTACTGCACTTGAATTTAAATCTGCCATTGCTATTGTCTAAGAGATACACTAAGATGTTAGCGGGTACATTATGATGTCACAGCGTTGTTGTGAGCCTGTTTGTATCTATTTGTTAGAGGCTCCGCCCTCTCGGTCTGCCAGACATCAGCATTTGTTGAGGTGGGAGTGGAGTAAGACTCTGGCTGGGGATGACTTGCTCTTTAACTACTCAGAAGCATAAACATGATCTATTCTATTCTATTCTATTCTATTCTATTCTATTCTGTATGCATGTACAGAAACCCAAACAAGAACAATAAAACAATCCAGTAAATCAAAATTTGGACATCTGTATAGCATATATTAGATTTTATTAACCATATCTTTCAGGTCTTTAGGCCTAAAAGTATCACGGTGATATAGCTGGGTAAAGTCCTACATTATCTTTATTTTTAAAATTTGCTATTTCAAAGACATCCTAACTGAGGGTCTTTGAACCAATAAAAATAGTTGTTTTCACAGTTACATGATGCTGAGTAACTATGGAAACAAGCTTTATATCCAGATCATGTGGTGAGTAAACATCCTAACTGGCACAAAATGAAACCAATATTCTGTTTCACTACTTTTCCTTTTCTATTTTAATTTTTGGCAAGAGAATTTCAGATTTTGGCAAAAAATTAGGGAAAAACAGCCGTTCAGTAAAAATCCTCATCAGGGTCAAGACAAAGCTGCGAAACAGACTCTCTTTGATTAGCAGCTGGGAATAGAGGCGACCTGATTCACACCACAGATGTGGACTTGTGCTGTTTGGAGAAGTGATGTCCTGCCTCTTCATCTGCTGATGAAAAAAGCTGAGTGTCAATAACTAACAAACAGGAGAAAACAAACATTTTCTGTTCGTATCATTAATTACAAAGGGAGAAAACAACTCAGAATTACAATGTCATTTGGTTTTGAAAGCCATAAATATATTAAAATAAAATAATAAAACATTTTCTTTTACTATGACATATTTTTGGCAGCATTAATCTCAGCCCACACTGTGAAACTAAATTGCACTGATTTCATTTAGAGAGTCATTCCTAAATGACCAAATATCTGGCAGTAGCAGAGACAAAATAGGATTATTTTAAGTAATCTGCACATTTTTTCTTGGCTACATTCAAACAAACTTGAGGATGTGCTAATTATATTTACTTAGTGTTAGCATAGCACTTTGTTAAAGTTCTTTCTTATATTTTAATGTTATTTTTAAAAACAATGCTCCTCAATTATACCTGACTGAGATCAAATTTCACACGTGTGATCAGATCAAGACATCAATAATAAATCAGTTTTTCATTACATTAAACGATCAGTTGTTTATTTCACTTCACACAATGAAGTCATGTTTAAAGTGGTTTTTTAATCTAAAGCGTGATTTATTTATTTATTTATGCTATCTCAGATAAAAACATAAAATGTTTTCGTCATGTTCAGACATCTGGTTCTATCCTGCATTCTTTAGGTCTGTCTGTCCATCCATCTATTCATCCATTTGTCCGTCCATCCATGTATACATCCATCTGTCTCTCCATCCATGTATACATCCATCTGTCTCTCCATCCATGTATACATCCATCTGTCTCTCCATCCATGTATACATCCATCCATCCATCCATGTATACATCCATCTGTCTCTCCATCCATGTATACATCCATCTGTCTCTCCATCCATGTATACATCCATCTGTCTCTTCATCCATGTATACATCCATCTGTCTCTCCATCCATGTATACATCCATCTGTCTCTCCATCCATGTATACATCCATCCATCCATCCATGTATACATCCATCCATCCATCCATGTATACATCCATCTGTCTCTCCATCCATGTATACATCCATCTGTCTCTCCATCCATGTATACATCCATCTGTCTCTCCATCCATGTATACATCCATCTGTCTCTTCATCCATGTATACATCCATCTGTCTCTCCATCCATGTATACATCCATCTCTTCGTCAATCTGTCTGTCCATCCATGTATACATCCATCTCTTCGTCAATCTGTCTGTCCATCCATGTATACATCCATCTGTCTGTCCATCCATGTATACATCCATCTGTCTGTCCATCCATGTATACATCCATCTGTCTCTCCATCCATGTATACATCCATCTGTCTCTTCATCCATGTATACATCCATCTGTCTCTCCATCCATGTATACATCCATCTCTTCGTCAATCTGTCTGTCCATCCATGTATACATCCATCTGTCTCTCCATCCATGTATACATCCATCTGTCTGTCCATCCATGTATACATCCATCTGTCTCTCCATCCATGTATACATCCATCTGTCTCTTCATCCATGTATACATCCATCTGTTTCTCCATCCATGTATACATCCATCTCTTCGTCAATCTGTCTGTCCATCCATGTATACATCCATCTCTTCGTCAATCTGTCTGTCCATCCATGTATACATCCATCTGTCTGTCCATCCATGTATACATCCATCTGTCTGTCCATCCATGTATACATCCATCTGTCTCTCCATCCATGTATAGAGCTCCAGACCCCACGTGACTCTCAGTTAGTAGATGCCGTTTTGGCAGGAAAAAAAGGTAAACAAACATGGATGTAACCATGAACGTGAACGGGATCCGCTTGGACTTTACTTCGTCGGAGTTTACTTCACACTTTAAAACCGAAGAAATCGTTTTATATAGTCAGAAATTAAATAGACTAAACATCTCCGACCCTTACCGTGCCCCTGGGATACTTTTTAAAAACGCCAGAAGCTGTCGGAGCGGACTTCTTACTGGACCTGGCCGGGGAACCCCATGGGATTTACCCGGAGGAGCTGGCTCCGGCGGCTGGGGAGAGGGAAGTCAGGGCCTCTCGACGCTACATGCCCCCGCAACCCGACTCCGGATAAGCGGACGAAAATGGATGGATGGATGGACAAATAACAGATTTACACGTAGGTAGTTTAAATAGAGTGCTGTGCTGTTTGAATGTATAAACTGAACGCCAAGAGAAATCACTAGTTTGATTTTTTTTTCTGTGAATAAAAGAAATATGTCAGGCAGGAGCGTCTCAGGATCTGTCTGAGATCTGTCTCGGTGAGACAGATAATAGCAATCCAAAGTGCTTTTTATGTGTGATCTGACAATTGATCAACCATTGCTTAAAAATTAAATACAGTTTAGCCGGTTAACTGCTGTGATCATAAAACACGTAAACAGCAGCACGCAGAACTCACGAGGCAACGTTTTACGTGATGTTTACTTGTTGCTGTGAGTAATAAGACAGAAAAAGCCACGCCTAAATAAGTTTAGGAAGCCCACTAAGAATCGTAATAAAAGTATTTAAAATAAATACCATACACAGTTGAGGAAACGTTGGTTTAAGTACCTGATATGAAGCGGTCGCTGCATAAACGAAAACCTTTACTCTCGGGATCCCACAGTTTCATTTTAGCCCGGTCACTAGTGCGTTTTATTACAATGATCCAACGTTTGCAGTGCTCCGGATCTTGGGGAATCCTGTAGATGGGTCATTCCTTATGTCGTCCGCGTCTGTTCTGGCATCCTGGGGCACAACAGGAATCTACCATATTTCCTGTTTGATTGAGTTTTCTGACAATAACAAATAGTACAGCTGCCGGCTTCTGCCTGCCTAATGGCGCCGTTTCGATTTGAACTGTTGCATGCCGGGAGAAGTGACGTCAACTCCCGGAGCTCTATACATCCATCTGTCCATCCATCCATGTATACATCCATCTGTTCGTCCATCTGTCTGTCATCCATCCATCCATATATCTGTCCAATTATCAATCCACCCACCTGTTTGTCTCTGTCCATCCATCCTTCCTTCCGTCCGTCCATCCGTCCGTCCATCCATTCATCCATCCATCCATCCATCCATCCATCCATCCATCCATCCATCCATCCATCCATCCATCCATCCATCCATCCATCCATCCATCCATCCGTCCGTCCGTCCGTCCGTCCGTCCGTCCGTCCGTCCGTCCGTCCATCCGTCCGTCTGTCCGTCCGTCCGTCCGCACGCCTGTTCGTCTCTGTCCATCTGTCTGTC